AACATGGATCCATCATGCCTTGTTACCCCTGTGCAGGCTGGTGGTGGTGGTGTAATGGTGTGGGGGATGTTTTCTTGGCACACTTTAGGCCCCTTAGTGCCAATTGGGCATCGTTTAAATGCCACGGCGTACCTGAGCATTGTTTCTGACCATGTCCATCCCTTTATGGCCACCATGTACCCATCCTCTGATGGCTACTTCCAGCAGGATAATGCACCATGTCACAAAGCTCGAATCATTTCAAATTGGTTTCTTGAACGTGACAATGAGTTCACTGTACTAAAATGGCCCGCACAGTCACCAGATCTCAACCCAATAGAGCATCTTTGGGATGTGGTGGAACGGGAGCTTCGTGCCCTGGATGTGCATCCCACAAATCTCCATCAACTGCAAAATGCTATCCTATCAATATGGGCCAACATTTCTAAAGAATGCTTTCAGCACCTTGTTGAATCAATGCCACGTAGAATTAAGGCAGTTCTGAAGGCGAAAGGGGGTCAAACACAGTATTAGTATGGTGTTCCTAATAATCATTTAGGTGAGTGTATAATGTATAATACGTGAACAAGTCGTAAAGTTGCATTGCATGCAAGTCTTTTCACAGTGACATGCATCAAATCAATCCATCTCTTGTAATCTATTTGGCTATTAAGCACACAAGCCCGTTTCAACCTGCTTGGAATAATCTGTTCATCTAAGGCCTCTGGCGGAGATACTGTAGTAGTGTATAAAAGTAGCATGAATCTGTGCTCACATGCACATGAAAGCTTCTGGGGGTAGCCGAGAGAAAGAGAGAGAGGTGGGGTTAGAAAGCTCGCCCTGCGCTGCAGGCGTGTGCTAAAAACAGGCTTGTTGTTCCATGCTTTTAGGATCAATATGAGAACAGAGTGAGCTATGAAGAACCGAAGATTAAAAGGCGTATATCCCACTGATGGGCCCATCACTCATTCTTAAGGGAATTAAGTATTGATTTGGATGAAAATATAATTGTTTTTGTGGGCGAGGCTGCGTGCTTGTGTGCAACTTTTGGAAAAAGTAATGGCCTATACAAGTTTGAATAGTATTCCTATATCTGATCTTTATGAAAAAAGAAATACAGGTTTTAACTGACAGATCTACTGTATCTAATGTGCTTATGATTTCCTGTTATGTTTAAAGTCATTATGAAATCAAAATAGCAACTCTTGTTTTTATTGATATATTCACTGATATTTTTATGCTCAGATTGTTACTCATGACTTGGTAGTTGGTCCTTATTTGAGTATTTATGTGTTACTTTTTAACACAAATCTGCTCTGGGGATTGTAATGTTGTTATGGCATTAAAGTCCCCATCCTCTGAGTCTAATGTTATCTTTCCTAAACATGTGCTGTTAACCCTAACCCTAACCATTAATCCATGGCTTGGCATGACAGTGCTCCAGGCTGGCTTTCTGATAAATACTTGCGCTTTTGGCTTTTTCTTTTTTGAGATGCTCAATGGGACTAGAGATTTACCATTACAAGACTGACCCAAATTGGTCAGATCCTATTATAAGTTAGCCTGAGGCTGCTAATGTTTGAATGAGAGAGGCGTCACGGGCTGAACTTCACCCCAGCTCACTGGGAAACACATAGTGTGTTCAAAGGTAATATGGTCACTAATGCAGAAAATAACCTGAATTAAACTTAAGAGGGATGTTAGTATCTCTTTAGCTCCTGAACTTTCAGCAATGTTTATGTCGGTTGAAAAACCCTCATACAGCTGCTGGAGTATCAGAGGATTTTATCAAAGAAGATCAAATAAAATGTAAAAGAAAACTCTAAAGATATTGTTAAGCTAACTAATAATGTATTCTTATGTTGTTTTTGCAAGTGTCAAAGACAAATTTACATCTGAATGGACAAAATAATCGCACATGTTCAGGATCCATGTGTACACACGGATCTGCGAAAATGACTAAAAAGGCCGTATTATGCATGCCAGGCCAGTAGTTGGCGATGTCACTTTATCAAAAAACACAAACACATAATACTCATACATGAACACGTAATACACAAGGGGGTAATCCATCGACCGGAAGTTGAAGTCGGCCGGGTGCCGCCATGTTGTAGCAGAACTTCACTTGCGTTAGCATTTCCATTGACTCCCATTCATTTTGGCGTCACTTTGACAGCGAAAAACTTTACATCTGAGGCGTTTAAAGACTCCATTTGTACATTATTTATTTACAAAGAAACACGACAATGTATAAAAGGCTCCATTACCTTCTATGTTACATTATGGCCCCGTAGAAACAGATTTAGTAAAAATAGGCTAACGATTGCGTCATAACCACTCGACTCTCTGTCGCGCTGTACAGAAGTTACCGTACAGACAGGAGGAGAAGCTCGCAGGCAATCTGGGGGACGTCCCGTCAAGGGAGAAGCCCATAGATAATGAGTCCATAACAGCAACGGAATACTTACTCCTGCTCACTCACGCCAAAGAACTCTTTGCTCAAGTTCCCCGCATCTGCAAGATTAACGTTGGCAATTTTCACGCACAGCTACTAGAAGATTTACGTCTGTCAGACAGGTTGCTCACGTCATCAAGCTTAGTTTGAGTCGGTTTGAGTCTGCACGTCAGGAACGGAAGTGCTCAAAAATCGCTAAAAATGGGCTTCAACTGTCTCAACTGAGTTCCAATGAGATGGCTCTGTCCACTTCTTATACTGTCTATGGTAATACACATGCGCGTGACGTCACCGTTTTCACTAATTCCCGTTTTTGTTGTTTACTATGGAGACGGTAAAGGCATTGTTTTCAAAACCTTGCACTTTGAAACCCGTTTTCAAAAGATTACATTTTCAGGCCACCAAAAGACCATGTTAATGAATGGCCAAAACGCATTAAAAAGTTTCCTGTTGAAAACGGTGTCGTGTAAACACAACCAGTCTTTCTGGTAGTTAATTAGTTAACACCCGTTTCTGTTCCTGTTTATTATCCAGTCTGTGTATTTAAACCCTGAGTTCTGTCTGGTCATTGTTTCGTGTCGTCTGTGTATTTCATGGTTGTTATTTTATGCCTTTATTCGAAATATCTCCTGAGTGTTCCAAGTTGGATTTAATATTAGAAATGTTTTGTTTTGTTTTGTTTTGTTTCTCTACTCCGTTGTGTGCTTTGTTACAGCCACACGTGACAGTCCTACAGTAGTCTATATATTTACAATATATTTCAAGTTTATGTCTATTTCTATTTTCGTTTCTTTTTTTCTTGCAAGATACTTTTACTTTTATTCAACAGTTGATCAAAAGTGACATTAATTACCTAGTTCTGGCATGAAACTCTGGATGGCACCGGCTGATAGGTCTAACTAATTTGGTAGTGATCATGTAACTACATAACACAGCTGGTAAGCGTCCAATGAGCTGCGGCTCAACATTCAAACAAATACCAGTAGTGTTGCTGTTAGTAGTCTGCAGTGTGCTTCAGAAACCCTACAGCTTCCCCAGCTCCACCTGTATAGATATGCCACGGGGGTTAATTCATGTACAGTATGTTACATGTGCAGCGGCAGCATGTCTTATATGCTCACAGCAATGTCTGTGAATGTATTGGCAGAAGCAAGTCTCGATACTTGCTCTTCTTTTGGACTTTCTATTCTTATAATTGGTTTCACAAAAAAAAATTAAGCAGCACAACTGTTTAAAACATTGATAATAATCAGAAATGTTTCTTGAGCATCAAATCAATGATCATGTGACACTGAAGACTGGAGTAATGATGCTGAAATTTCAGCTTAATCAATTGTATTTTAAAATATATTCAGAGAGAAAAGAGCTATATTAAATTGGAATAATATTTTAATGCAACAATATTTTAATCAAATCAATGCCGTCTGTGAGCATAACGACATATTTTTTAACAACATGAAAAAAAACCCCCACCTTTTGTAGTTTTGCCTCTTCTGGTGACCCTGCTTATGGCAATTACATATTAAAGAATAGCATATGACCAAATGTATTACTTTTGTGACTAAACTGTAACTTTCACATCGTAGTCAGAAGATCTCATTACATCCAAGTAATAATTATCTCCTACAGAATAAAGAGTCAGTGAGAAGGAACTCATCCAGACCAGATCAACCAGATCAGATTAGACATGTTTCATCAAGCAGATGACAAATGCAAATTATGGGACTGTTGACTTTAAAAAATGTAAGGAAACCCATTGCCTTAAAATTATTAAATAAATAAACATGTGAACCTGACAATTCCACATAACTTATTTTTTTCAAATACGCATGCAGTTTCATTAATCATTTTAAGGCAACGGGTATCCTCACTTTTTTAAGTCAAGTCACCTGATCACTTTTTACAGTGTGGAGAAAATGCGTGAAAACTATTAAGAATTGACCCACCTCAAAAACACCATCTTTTTTTTTTGCTTTGCTTTGACAAAATGGCACTCAAACCAAACAATTAATCTTAACTTGGGGTTTCTGAGTAAGGCAAATGTGGATAGTACAGTTTACCAGATTTGTACAATTAAGTTGAGAAATTCAGTACAATTAACCAAAAAAGTGTTAGTTATAATGACTTGGACTTTACAGTGTACTCATGGGTCAATATTATAGGGTGGAATTTGTCACATTATAATGACAAGCACTTAAAGTGTTAAATGCATTGTAGAACATTTATACACACTTATAGTACAATTTGTAAGTTACTAAGCATAAACTTTTGCCAACATAAAAAGATTTGAATTAGATCTGTCTGAAAAAGAACAGTCTATAAACATGCTTTGATCTTCCCCTCTTTATCCATGTCGCCCAATATAAATGTGTGCTGGTATCCATGGAGAGCTCGTCATTGTCACTGGTCATTACTTTGTCAAGAGCCATAGTTACCCTTAGGAACCGTCTGGGTGACAGAGGAGTCTGAATAACAAACTAAAGAGAAGACATTGTGTGCATCTCAGACTAACTGCAACCCCGAGGGCTCACGCATGCTCTTCATTTAGCTAAAACTAACACATTTGCCATTTTTTCCTTCGTATTGCTTAATATTAAGGGTCAATGTGTTCACTGTTTTACTTCTCCAGCACTGGAGGATGAATCCTATTTCTTAGTTAGAAATCTGCCACTTTTCAGGACTGACATCAAACTGGACTGACCCTTTACAGTAAGTTCTTTTCATGATTTTTCCCCCCCATTATGAACTGTAATGCTACAAATCTTACCATAATGTTTATGCAAAAAACAGGATTTAAGGTAGTAGGATAAATATTTTTTGAGAGCACTTCAACAACCGCTGTGGTTTCCCAGCTGTGCCCACAAAAGCCTTTTTAAATGGAGACTGTCATAAAAGCTCTTTAAGCGCGTGGGGAGAAGGCAGTTTTTCCTATTGTTATGGCTTTGACAGGTGAACGATATGATTGCAGATGAGGAATTTATTTTGCGTGGTTGTAATGATCATTAAATAAAACAGTTGAATTAAAATGATTTTCCTGTTCTTGCTGGTATCCATCCATTCATGTTTGAGATTAATTGTTCATGGACTCTTTAAACATAATTCAATCCGCTTCTGCTATCTTCACTGATGAATAAAATGTGCTGTTGGAAAACAAAACTCAATTCATAATCATGTTTCATAATCTTTATTTTTTCATTGCTGTTGGTTGGAATTTTTCATGCTTTATGGTTCATTAATTTAGAGTTGTGTGAGTGTGTAAAGTCAACATGAAAACAGAACTGACCCTATTTTTGTCTTATTGTGAATGGTTCATCAGTGTACATCATTCCAAGAACAAAATATAAAATATAAAATAAAATAAAATCTCCAACAACCTGTTCTGTTCTAGTGCGTACACTTTTTACAATCCAGTCAATTCTCAATGGATCGATTCAAGCCCCATTAAACTTTTTTTTGGTTAATTATCTACTTTCAATCAGAAATGCATCTTAATGCAGAAGTAAAATGGATTGTGATGTCTGTTGATTTTAACATAAGTGTATTTATCCATCAAATATTGTTTAAATCAATCTAAAACAAAACCGAACAATTAGCTCTGGTCATAATGCCAACACAGATCTGTTTCTTTGAGATTGGAAAAACAAATGCTTTGACAGCTTTGACTCAATCATTAACAGACATCTCATACGTGATGGCCAAGGATGAACTGGTCTATGAGGTAAATATTACCACATAGATATGGTATGAGCAGAGGAAAATAGGGGAATATTTTACTGACACAAAAATGTTGGTGTTTTAATTAAAGATAGTTGGGGTCAGGGGAACTTCTGTGACTAATGGATATAAACTTAAATATGACAAAGAAAAATGCTTTATCAAGGTGATTTTAATATGTATCACCAACCCTGATCAGTTACACCAAGGCCAACAACATCTGATTTAAGACCAGACACTGATAGTTTATTTGTAATCAATTTCAAGCTAAAAGGGCCGATGAAACGGGGAGATTTAGAGTTTTATTGACAGTGCCTCTATTTTGCTTTATTCAAACCCATTACTCATCCACAATGACCCAAACAGACTGAATGCAGCCTCCGTATGTTTAACTGATGAACACTGTGGTGGAAGTGCTTCATCAAAGCTTTTATCTCCTGCTGCTCCTCTCGGTCTCTTTCTCTTGCATAAACGCATCCTGACCATACCGTCAAGAAATTATTAGGTGTTTAAGTAAAGAAATATAATTAAAGAGTATATTTTATTAATTTTCTAATCTTCACAGAAGCCTGTCAGTGGTTGTCATTGGTAGTGTTATTTTGGTATTATTTATATACTTTATTTTTAATATTTTTATGTAACTTTTGTAGCTATGTAACTTTTTTTTGTTCAAAATATACAAAATTTAAATGTAGTCAATACATCATCAATCCTTCTTCCAAAACGTGTTTTTGTCTTACACTGATTCACTATGGTATTAGTGAAAAGGTCAGCCTATTATAAGTGTTTATAGTTTAGACCTAGCGAGATAGTTTTTGAGGGAATTGTGTGCATGCGTCACTCTCCCCTGAGTGTCTCGTCATATCCGTAAATAGAGAAAAGTTGCTTCGGCTACTTTCACACGTGTATGGTGGCATAGGTTAGTGTTCAAGGTTGACATGGAGCATGCTGAAACTGGAATATCTAGGGAATCACTTGTTTAAAAAAAAACGCCGAACAGAAGAGAGTCTGCTGGCAAAAAGAGAGCGCGACAGAGCTGCTAATGAAATGAGAATCAACAGTGGCTTGGCTTTTCAAAGATGGCGAGAACTTTAAATGTTTTTAATTTAAATGTTGCAAAAGAAACATGGAGAAGGCGTTTTTATTACTCAGCAGGTGAGTAAGGTATTTTAATTGAACAGATAAATTGCCATCTGTACTGTACATCTCTCTAACAGAATTCATTGTAAAGCATTATCTATTGTGAAGGGTCATATTCATCCGCAGACACGCAGAGCTGAAGCACAACCAAAACAATGTTCTTCCACAAAATGCTTGCAGTTTTGTTCCCTTTGCCATCAGCGCATCTAGTGTGCGAAAACACTCTAATTTCGTTTGCTGGTGAAAGCCTGTGCCTCCGTGTTCGAGATATTTGACACCTGAGGACACACACGACCTGTGCGTTTATTGCCTAGGTGAGGAGCATGCACGTTTAGTTTGTGAGGGTTCTGAGAAAGATCTGTTTGTGTTTGTCCTTATTCTGGAGGGATGTTGAGGCACAGCGGAGGCTTAGGTCATGGGTATCTCAGGTTGAGCTGGCCGAGGAGTTCGAGAAAGCATTGGCCCTTTCATGCACTTCGGTCGCAGGCTCAGGATGTGCTGTCTCTTGACTCCGCCGATCCAGCAGATAACTCATGTTGTTGGCACCATCCAGCCAGGAGGAGGCGGATGTAATTGAGGAGGCAGAGGATACTCAACCTGCCAACCCTACATATGGGGAACTGGTGGACAATATGGCCTGCACCACAACTAGATTGGATCTGGCTCAGGGGCATGCAAAATGGGAAGTCGCTTGTGGTAGACTGGACGAGTACCTTCTTTCAGGCCGTAATTCCCCCATGAGCTTTCCCTTCCTTCCCAATATCCACAGATATAAAGGAGGAAGCCATATTCAGCTTGGATCCATCCTTTCCAATATTCGAACTATGCAAATGTGGAAGGATTGGCTGAGTGAGGATATGTGAGGATGCCCCTGGTAGAGGAGATGTCTTTCAGGGCAAGTCATCCTCTCTGAGGGCTCCTGCCCTGCTATCAAAGCTGCTTCAAACCACCTCGCGTTTGAATGGCAGGGCATATGAGGCAGCAGGTCAGGCCGGGGGGGACTTGCACACCATGGCGGTGATGCAGGCCTGCAGGCAGATCTGCTGAGGGATTTGGATCAGGGGCAGGGATTGTCCCCTGAGCTGCCATGTTGTGCTGCACCACAGACTTAGCCCTAAGTCTGAGAGATGCATTTTCTCCTTGATGCCCCGGTCTCACCCTCTGAGCTTTCTGGCCCAACTGTAGAGATGGTGGTGGAAACGCTTCGAGAGGCGAGGGCGCAATCGGCGGCGTTCAGGAAATACATCCAACACCGATCCAGATCCCTGCCTAAAGCCTCTCAGGGTTCTGGCTTGCCACAGTCTGAGGACCGAAGGCAGAGGAGATGCTTCCCCTAGGAGTGGGTCATTAGATAAACTAGCTGACCTGTTAGCTATTGTGTGAGTTGACAATGCTACCGAGTTGAGGATGTTCACCCAGGAGGCATCCCTCCTTGCTATCTGTCACTCACTGTGGTCTAGTCAGGATAAGCGCTAGCTATTACTAGCCATTCCTAACTGGGATTAATGCAAGGGAACTAAATACATTAGACATTATATTCCCTCTATTTAGTTCCTTCCCTTCCCCAACTAGTGTTGGGTCTTAACAACACATCAGTGATGGTAGCTATACTGAGAATGCTTTCACCACGGGCTCCCTTTAGCAAGCTGCCCTTTTGAGCCTTAGGGCTGAGTGAGGTGTTCCCTTCCTGACCATTTCGGATAATAAAGTAGTACATTCTACCTGGATTCTAATTAATCTAATGAAACTACTGAACATGCTCTTGAAGAGACATGGGTCACTTTAAACACCGCAGCTGCCACTGTAAATACCGAAGTAATGGTAAGGCTCTATATCTAATTGTTTTTAGTAGATAAAGCTAATACAGTGTTTCCAACTATTCAGCATTAAGAATCTATTTAGCTGACCCGGTTGTCAAAAAGCAAATGTGGATATGAGTGAATAAGATGCTTTGAATAATTATATTCTCTTGGCAAGTGAGACGGATCTGCTGGATATGGTTTTGCATAACGATAGAATGAATAACATAGTCAAGCTTGACATATCAGAGAGTCCATTGGGAGAATATATGATGCTGTGTATGAGAGCATGTGTATGTGGGTGTATGTGTTTGCCCTAGTGCTCTTATGTTAGGCCTACAAATGGTTTATATTTTGGATTGTGTATTTGAAAGACAGACAATTATGAATTTGTTGCTGATGTTTGGTTTGATCTTTGTACTGTACTGTAAATACTGTTGTATCTCTTCAAAGACAGAGAACCGGGGAAATATTGGCGAAATACTGTAGGAAAAGGGAAATTGTGAAGACTGTATAAGAGCCTATCCCCTTTATGCATGCATATTAGCTAGACCAGCCAGAAAATATTTGATTGATTGATTGATTGATTGATTGATTGATTGATTGATTGATTTAGTATAACATGATTTGAGCTAAATAAATAAAATTTATGATTGTTGGTACTTGGTACATTTGGACTTTATGGACAATGGCCGAGCTACGATGCAAGAACCCTTATAGTCCAACAGCAATGGGACATTTCACTATTTTTCATTACTCTTTCCTCATGGTTACATATTATGCCGGTAGCTGGTGACAAGTGACTTTCAATTAGTGAGTCACTGAAACATTAACTGGCACAACTTCATTAATGTTCTTAGACACACACAATGGTAAGCTTTATTGTAACTTTGTTTAGACCAGTGTTTCTCACATGGGGATATATGTGATAATGAGCTGATGAGTTGAATCAGGTGTGTTTGCTTGGGGAGACAAAGAAAACGTGCAGTGTTGGGGGTCCTTCAGGAGCAGGGTTGAGAAACATTGGTTTAGACCTATTTTCATTGAGCAAAATGGAGCAATGAAGCATTACTCAATGACTTTTTGTTTACTGAACTGTTGCATGAAAGCAATACTCACATTTGTGCTGTTGGTCTGAATTCAGCTAAATTTTTGGTTTTGTTATGATATTGATATTGCTTTATCAGTTTTGTTTAAATATATTATTGAAACGTCATCATCAGATATGCGTCGCAGAGACTGGTTGCCATGGCCCGGTGAGGCTCAGAGACGAGAAGAGAAGAGGGCCGAAGCCAGACTGGCTGAGGATCTGCAGAGACTCGACCAGGCTAAACATTACCACCTCAACACACTGAACAGAGAGCAGCGCAGACTACACAGAGAGCTCATCTCAGTCAAAACAGGTGTGTGAGTAATTAAATTTAAAAAAAAAAAAAAACCTTGACCTTGATTTCACATATGAAACGTATCTGTTTCGTGTCAGGTAATCCCTGGAAAAGAGGACTCCACAGTTTAGGGCTACGACCCTCCAACCATGATGTCGGGCGCCCTGCTGCATCCTACAAGAGGACCCTATTACCCATCATCCCACTGGCAGGCAAGGAGGCAGACAGGTGAGGCTGAGATCAGGACTTGTTTGATTGCATTTTCTCACTATATTAAAATGTAAAGATATATAATTTTCCAAATAAATATAATTTTATATTATAATTATTTTTATGTTGTGGCCAATGTTCAATTTCTATAAACCTTTGTTTAAATAAATAAAAAATCAATCATTTTAATACTACAGGTGAATTTGCAGTGAATGTTTATTTTGAGATTTACGATTTACTAAATATTCCATTTAACAGTGTTATTAAATTATTAGTGGTATTATGAGGGTTAAATAAATAAATGTAAATGAGCACTAACAATTAAATAAACAATTAAAATAAAATACAATTACAACTGATACCAATAAATGAAAGTATCTCAAGTATATGCTAAAACCAAAATAGTACAAATATGTTGTGCATCTATAACTATGATGTTTAAATTTGTTCATTATATATGCATAATATCAGAATATCATAGTATTACTATTACCGTACTTTAAGGTATTTTTATCCAATAAACATTAATAGTTGGATCAAACTGCTCTATATACAGTAAGCGAAGCCACTGATAATTTCTGATGGAGTTCAAAGGAAGTGTGTTGTGCCAACATGAAGCTAATCTCTTTAGCACCTCATTATATAATATGGCTATCCAGCTCTGTCTTCCCCTGTATCCCAGCTTCAGCCGTGGCATGCGCCCCACTCTGCAGTTAGACAGGGGTTGGCATGGATTTCAATGAGGAATGAGAGAATTTATTCCACTTGATACTTGACACAGCACAACTTCAAACAGAATGTGGAAAATGAATCTGTTGCAATTATGATCTCTCCTTTGGGGTACAATCTTAAAAAAGGAAGCTAGACGCCACCCACTCATTCTATAAATGTTTGATATTGTATCTTAGACCCACTTTGCATTCAAAAAGTTGCACGTAGGATAAGGACAATGAATATGTTTAAGTTAAAGTCTGACAAATATCCCTTAAATACGTGTTCTGAGAAATCACAAGTCTCTGTGACAGATGTAGGCTAAGATCTATCAACAGCAAGAACAGATTGTTTACCAAAACAACAAAACAGAATGTCACCTTAATAACACTAAACAAAATTAATGCTTAACCTTTTGTTCATTATTATTTATTGAATTGTAACATTTAATGTGCCCATTCCTCGTGGGATCCTGGGAGCCAGGTTAGTGTCACACCACACTCACTGCCTCTACTTCAGGACGTTACGCTTCCCGGGTTGGGCCCCAGCAGTCCCCCTCGCTGCCCCTCCACGGGTACGTTGGTTGTGCCCTTGGGTCGCTCGTACAGAGCCTGGGAGCCTAGAGCTTCCAAGCCCGTCCCGTTGACTCTTGCAGACAATCAGACTCGGCTATGGGATTCAGTTTGCCAGGCACAGTTTTGGGCTCCTGGACGGGACCTTGACTGCGGTAGCATACCTATTTTCTAGAGTTGATGGCAGTGCTCCTTAACCTGGCCCTAGCCAGATGAATTTCGCTCCGCCTAGCTTCACTCACATCCATCTGGAACCTCTTCCATTGAGAGTGATTTCTCCAACCAACTTTATGGTTTAGCCAATCAGGACGCAGGGAGGGGAGTTTCATAGATGTGACGTAGTGGAGAAGCGACCGTGAGACTGTTTTGATTCAGACAACAATGGCGGCTCGCATCGAGGAAACAAGCGTTAACATTGATGCTGCTATTTCATCCGTGTTGTCCAATCTACCTAATATTGTTTCATTAAAAGAACATCAGAGAACGGCTCTTAAGGCTTTTGTTGGTGGAAACGATGTTATATAGATCAGTGCCTTCTCCCGACCGGATTCTTCAGCGTCACGGGTTGGCTTCGGTGTGAGTGGTTGAAATAGCACGTCGATAAAGATGACAGACAAGTGGCTTATCCAATCATATGCAAGGATTTTTGATAAGGCCCAGCCTTCTGAAACGCAATTTCAATGGATCGGTTCCAGATGGATGTGAGTGAAGCTAGGCGGAGCGAAATTCATCTGGCTAGGGCCAGGTTAAGTGCTCCTTGCCCTGCGTCGGTTTCCACCGTTGCTTTAGGGCAACACTGCGATGGTTGCGTATATCAACCACCAAGGCGGTGTGCGCTCATGTTGGCTGTCTCAACTTTTCCTCCATCTCCTCCTCTGGAGTCAGTAGTGTAGTGGCTCAAGTCTCTCACGACAGCTCACACTCCCGGGAGAATGGACTCCCTCCCCTGGTGGTCCCGCTGAGGCCTCCCAGGAGTCCTCCCACTGCTAGCTCTTTTGGGTCTGGTCAACAGATAATACCTTTGCGGGATTCAATCTCCAGTTGGAGTTGTTTTCTTCCCATGTGTTGGGTACAAACAGGTAATGTGTGGGAAGGCTGGCTTGATGAGTTCCCCACTTGGCGAACCCTGAATTAATTTTCAGGGCCAGTACTCGAGATGGCCCATGTGTTGGTATTCCCCCTTGGTAATCCCATATGTGTATTCTTCCAAGATACATGTTCCCTATCTGTAAAGCTGTATCTTTCTCTGGGCAGATTTTGCTCTGCCCCGCCTCTGCGTCTGTAGTAGTTCCATCCCTGTCTAGGCAGGACCTACCACAGCAGCCCAGTCTCATCCCAAGACGTCATATGACTGACACTTTTGACCATACGTCAACATCCGTCGTTTTAGGGTACCCTTTAACGTCAGTTAGATGACGCTATCTAATCCTAACCCTACCCCAGACCTAAACCTACCCACTTCATCTAACTGACGCTAAAGGTAAAGCGTCAGTTAGATGACGCCCTAGGATCGTCATCTAACTGACGTTAAAGGGTACCCTAAAACGTCGGATGTTGACGTATGGTCAAAAGCGTCAGTCATATGACGTCTTGGGATGAGACTGTGTTAACCACAGAGGTCTTCCACATGTGGCACTGCCCCACGGGTCAGTCCATATGTGTATTTCCACATGTTCCTCCTTACGGGTATGTGGCCTCCGTAGCATTCCTCTGGACTGGACTAGGTATGCTTCCCCAGTGTTAATAACACTGGTCATGGCTAAAAAAAAAGGGAACTGAGAACCAAAGCACTCTCCTCATGAAATAACAATGTAAAAAGAACAGCAGCTACAACTGTCTTCATGGTAATCCCTTCCATCCCATTGGCAAGGAGGACTAACATGGGCTTACGTTGGGCGCTCGGTAGGTTACATCTAAACGAGAGCCGTTTCCGAAAGGGGATTTGCTCGCAAATTTTTTTGCGTTTCTTGCAGGAATGCAATACACCTGTGAGAGAATGCAAAAGCATTTACACAATATTTCCTTTACATTATTTTTTCTAAAAAATAATTCCATCACCATGTACCTTTTAAGGGCTTCATAGTACGTCTAAATGTGGGCTGATCAAAAATATTTTTGTAATTAAGAGATACTATTTACAGAATATATTTTAATTGTATACAGTTGTATAACATCACTTTGCACTCTGTACATTCAGCTGGCAAATGTGATTGATTTCAGATTGTGTGCTTCAAATGTGTGTGTGTGTGTGTGTGTGTGTGTGTTCAGAAGTTGTTTATAATAAGTATGTGCATGAATGCTTTCTGATTAGAGTCTGAGATGGGCATGTGTGATTGAAGGGATTTCCCCAGTTAACCGCACCAGTGAATCTGAAAATGGGTAATCACAGACACACACAGATCCATCCATCCTCAAACACATACAAACGACTTAGTAAAAGATTTATTATGTTTTAGCCCCCTACATTGATATGTTCATCTATTAATATATTTGTTCCAGATGTCTGCCTCTCAGATTTGTCCTTTCTGAAATCTTCGATCAGCACTTTCAAAAAGATGAATGAATGAGAGCGAGGGAGGAGGGGGCAAAATATGTTTTAAAATGAGATCTGTAGTCAGTGAATCAAGGAAATGGAGAAAGACCATGGTAGACTAATGGTTAAAGATCTGGGCTTCTAATGAGACAGCGAGAGAAACCTCTCTACTGCCTGTTCCCTTGAGCAAGACACATCTCAAGATGCTCCACTGGAACTGGCCTTCAATTAGTGAACCAAAGGTTTCTTTGGATGACAAGCATCTGGTAAATAGCAAGAAAGAAACAAGAGAGAAGAAATTAGGCCATCTCTCTCTCCCACAGTACACCGTCTGCACATCTTGTAACATCTTCTGTCTGTCTGTTCTGTCTCTCTGTGGACCTGCAGGGAGGTTAGTGGTTCTTCGTCTTTATGCTTGTTAGGCAGACAGCCTGTAGGCAGCCAACTAGTGCCTACTTCACTATACTTCTGCTTATTTCCTGTTTTCTATCTCTCTTTCTTTCCCTTCTAGCTCACTCTCTGACAGAGACACTCTTTCATGATTGTTTCATTTCCTTTTCTCTCGTCTGCATTCTCCACACTCCTCCATCATTTTCCTCATCTTCCATTCCTTGCTTTACATGGTGATACTGAACGTTTTTAAGTGCCCAGTCCGTGTACCATGATCAGACCAGCTTTACATTTCCACAAAAAACGTTTTACTAATCTACTGATCTTTTACTGAGTGCAAAAATGTCATTTGGTGTAACGATCTCGTAAAAATTAAACCGAGTGCATCATTGTGGAGCCACCATCCAATTAGCGGTGTTCATTTCCCGCAGCTCCAGATTAATTGCTATGCGAGTTCCCATGATTTTTAATGCATGTTGACTTTTGCACTTTAATTAATTCTCAGTATTTCTTCTCAATCTCTCCAGGTCCTCCTCTCTGCAGGCTCGTGTTCAGGAGTTTATCAGCAGTGGGGAGAAAAGCGCAGAACCCTCCGAGACTCTCTGCCTACCGGACCTAAAACGGCAGACTGTCACATCTCTAACTGCTACATGTACAAATACAGAAAGAGAGGAGAGCAAGGAGAGACAGATGGATAGAGAGAGGGAGGCACACATGGAGGTAGTGAGAGACAGAGAAAAAGACAGCCAGAAAGAGAGAGAGTGGATGCTGTTAAGGGAACGAGAGAAAGATGTTGAAAGAGGAGCTGAAATAAATGGGAATAGGTGTCCATCCTCTCCTGTTTTATTCCCTTCTGAGATGTTAGCTCCTGATGGACATTTAAGAACAGTTCACACATTACCAAACTTTGCACAGGCCCTGGCCGAAGCAAGAAAAGCAAGATACATCAGACACAGAGGACACCCCTCGTGTGAGCGAGAACTCACCATACGAGAGATATTTTCCCAGGATTCAAGAGATGCACTCGCTCTCTGAGACACAAAAACAGTGGTTCTCAACTGGTTTTGCTTCAAGATCAGATTTTTCATTGGACAGCAAGTTGCGACCAAACATAGTGCCATAATTGTATTGATGGTTTTGGTGCATTCGTGGTATATTCGTTTTGAAACAACTTGCCATCACTAACTTTCCGGAAATGTTCGATTGGGCTGGTAAACACTTTTGAACTACCATTGGTCTGTGTCGATTATGTAGGTGTGGATCTGAGGCTCCGCCTTCTCTAACATGGAAATTATCTCCGGTTAGTTTTGTCTGTTCAGTCCGTCGAGAACAGATGCGGGTAAACATGTATAAGTTGGAGCTCCATTCAATTCTGAGTTTGCAAGTTATAATTATGAGTTCTATGAAGACTTGAATGCTTATTACAAGTCAGAATTTCATACAGTAATTCCGACAAAGTGTAAATGCACCTTTTACTATCCCATTTACTATATTTTTTTCCCTGCTGTCCATGATCCTATCAGAAAAGGCTGGTGAGTCACAACCCCCCAGTTGAGAATCGCTGTGTTAAAGGAATAGTTCACCCCAAAAATAAAAATTCTGTCATCATTTACTCACCCTCTAGTTGTTCCAATCCAAACCTGTATGAGTTTCACCCTTCTGTTGAGCACAAAGAGGATTTTTAAAGAATGTTGGTAATCAAACAGTTGACTGTAGCCATTGACTTCCATAGTAGGAAAAAAAAAATACTATGGAAGTCAATGGCTACCTCAAACTCTTTGGCTAGAAACATTATTTGCTCAACAGAAGAAACACATACATGTTTGGCACAACATGAGGGCGAGCAAATTATGACAAATTTCATTTTTGGGTAAACTTTCCCTTTAAAAATGCACACAGTACATGCTTCATTAGATGTTTTGCATTAGGCCTAAATAATTAAATAATTGTAACAGTTAATTACAAAGACATAGGCTATATCACATCAAGTAGGCCTACAAACACCTTTAATATTTATGTTTACTTAAATCTACATGATGAACCACACCATTTTAGGATGGTTTGTTCTTATCAGCTCAAATTATGTCAATAAAAACAATCAACAAAGCTGTTTTCTTCTTCATTTTATCAGGGGCCTGTTTCAATAAGGAGGTTCAACCAACTCTGAGTTAAAACTTGAACTCTGAGTTGACTTACTCTGAGATGGGAAACTCTTGAGTTTTCGGTTACAGAACAGCTGAAATTAGTTGGTTCAATCAACTCTAAGTTGACTGACTCTGAGTTAAGCGAGTGCACCACAACTATAAAAAGCCATCATCAATGGAGCGCAGATATTACGAGTCACCATGGCAACAGTGCCAGACAAAAAGAGGAATTACTGTTATACAGTGTTGGGTGTAATTAATTGCCAAGTAATCTAAATATTTTAATTTAATTAAAGGGATTACTCTTAATTCTTCTTTAATTTAAAATAAAATCTGATGTAATTGCATTAAATACTGCATAGACTATAGAACAATTCTGTATAAAACAATAGTGGATTTAACATACATTTTTAAAAGGCATATTTTTAATGTTACCTTCTCCCTCTACACACTTGTCAATTCAAGAATAATTCATGCAATTGTATATTGTTCATTTGAAAGCATTACAAGTGCAGTTTCTTGTCTCTCCTTGTATTGTTCAAGTGTGAGGTTGATATGGGATTTAGTAATTAGTAATAAGTAGACCAATACTTTCTAAAGATAGTAATTATTACATGAATCTAATTACACTGTTGAAGATGTCATTTGTAGTTAGTAATTAATAACTATTTTAGAGTAACTTACCCAACTGTTATAATATCAGAGGTGAAACTGGAAGAACAGTATGTTATTCAACCTAATTTTAATTTTCATGGTGCAATCCTGCAGGCATTAAAAGAACGTGGCAGCAGCTGAAAATGAAATATATAAACATAATTCAATCAGGTAAGGCTTGAGCATATCATGGGTGTAGGCTACCTGACTTTACAAATATTTGACATATTAAATGACTAAATAGCATCCAGTGTCTAGCAGTGCAGCAGCATTTCTGGCTGAGGGAATTCCTTCATCAGAGCCAGTCACTCCCGAAGATCCAAGCCTTCATAAATGTAAGAGCTAAGAGGTCTACTACATATGTGTTATTTTTTATATAGGGTATTTTTGATATTTCCATTTATTTTACTTTGGGTTGGGTTATTCGTTGGTCCCAACAGATTCTGATGGTAATATCTGTCTTTTGGAGTCTCCTGTCCCAACAGAACCCCAGACAGTTGTAAGTAGCCTACTCAATACACCAGAAATTATGACAAATAGTAGGCCTAAACTTCATAAATAGTAGAGACACACTTCAGTGTGTAATGCCACTGAATTTGTAGAATTTGTTTAGAACTAACGAACTTGGAAAGAGTAATACAATATTTTACTCAAGTAAAAATACTATTACTTTGATAAAATTGTACTTAAGTAGCTACAAATAAAAGTACCGGTCTAAAAATCTACTCAAGTAAAAGTAAAAAGTAGCTCATTTAAAATGTACTCAGAGTAAAAGTTGCTGAGTTACTTGTTTAACAGCGGGTGTGGGGTGGGGGACTCTCCCGTGTATAGGGTTGTATGAGAGTTTCACGGAAAATATCACGGTTTATGGTATTAAACAATTATTAAATATATAAACTGCATTATTCAATTACGGTTATTATGATCATCAGTTAAAATGACAGTTAAATAAATTAAACATTTGTTCAATAAAACATATTTAATCAACTAATTTCACTAATTGATTATGAATTAGATTAACAACTTTTTTTATCATTAATAACTTATTAAAATGTTCAAAAATAATTGAGTTCTATGAAATGTTTTTTATTCAGATTTTTTTTAATTTTATGAGTTAATACAAATATAATTTTTAAAAAAAACGGTGGTAATCAAATAGAAGTTTAGCAAACGTTTAAATCCTTTTATTTTTTGGCAAAGTGCTGCAAAACAGATTTAGTAAATTAAACCATGTAATGGACAAACAATATATATTCCTTAAATAATGTTTAAATAAATTGTAGTATTATTGTTGGTGTTTAAACATTGCTTCCTCTTTAAAAAAGGGGAGGAGACCGCAAGAAACTCTGAGTTTACCGAAGAAAATCTGCTCCTGACCAGGTTAGGTTCACAGAGTAAGTTACCATGGTAACTGACTCTGAGTATAAGTTACCTCTCTTTCAGAAACGGGCTTGACTTACTCTGCTTTCTCAGGTTTGACTTACCTCCCATTCTGAAACGGAAAACCCAGAGTTTCCCTCATTTCAGGGTTAACCTACTCAGAGTTTTCACTTAACCTCCTTTCTGAAACGGGCCCCAGGACATCTGTCACAATCTGTAAATACTTTGCCTCTGGGTACTACTTTTATTGTTCTTCATTTCATCAGTAGACCTCTGCAGTAGTTATCAAACTTACCATCATATCACATTATCGCCCTCTGTTGATGGTTCTTAACAGAGTGTTGTACACTAATATCATATTACGCTAGAAGGGACCGGAAGGGACGCGTCGAGTCGATCGCGTAAACGAAGTATTTGATTGGTGAACTGGGTGTCTACGTCAGAATTCCGAGTTACGCGCTTGGAGTGTAGTCAAGTCGTTTCAATTTTCGCGTCGCGTTACTAGGAGACTTTAAAATGTGTAAATAAACTCGAACATTACATTATTAAACACATTAGGCTGTGACCTGGAAAGTGAGTCTCTCTGTAAGCGTCGAGGTGAAGAAGGTTGACAGTTTGTTTGAGGAAGTGAAGTGGAAAAATACACAAGCAAACTTGACAGTGTTGATGGTGTTTCGTAATGCATGAATCTCCCACACGGCTTATTATTAACAGCAACAGCTCCGGTTTAATTCCGGGTTATACGGTTTCAATTCTGGTTTGGGGCCAACAAAGATCGCTGTTACAATACTATCTACGAAAAGACCTTATTTATCATGAGTGTAGTAGTGCGCAGAGTTGCCATGAGGACTGGGATATTTCTCACCCAGCCCAGCGTGCAGGTGATGATGGCAGCGGGCTGTCCGATTAAGCGACTTTCCCCCCGGGTTAGTTTTACTCAGTCCCGGTCGTGGTGCTCTGATGGGCCAGTTTCTGATCGCAGTGAAGTCCGGCTGCATTGGCTGGATGGTGAAGACAACGGTAGGTGCATCAACTATATTGCTGTACGCTTGCAGAAGCGTCCTGTTGTAAACACACACACACACACACACACACACACACACACACACACACACACACACACACACACACACACACACACACACACACACACACACACACACACACCTGTCTACATCTTACAGGCGTATTTGTGCCGTTAATGTAACTTAGAAAACCTGAAAACGAAAGTGACTTATGTTGTTTATTTTATTTTAGTCTTCAGGAATTTCAAGTCTTTATTGAAATGCAATGCATACGTTGCATATATATATAGCCTATATATATATATATATATATATAAATCAGCATGTTAGTAAGATACACAATGCATTGACATGTGCTTAATTAGGCCGACCTTCTTCCATCCTTATTATTCCTTCAACATGTAGCCTGTATTGTAAGGAACTATGAAGGGTAGTTTAGTTTGGAGATTGGAAGTGAAAACAGAAAAATAATATTACTCTTGTATCTTGTAATATATTGTAGCCTAATTCAGTGATTCTTAAGTTTTTTTTTTTTTGCTTCAGGACTTTGAGTGGTGATTTTTTTGTTGTGTGAAAGTAAACAAAATTCTACATATTAACCATTAAAGTGTATAAATATTAATTATATATATATTTAAAAAAAAATACAAAGTTCTGTCATGGCCATAAAACTCTAGATGGCACTGGCTGATAGGTCTTTAACTCATTCTGCTAGCAATCACATATTTTTCTACATGGCACAGCTGATTGGTTTATGATGCATCAGCAGCCAGCCAATGAGCTCACTGCTCGACATGCAAATACTCTGTCAGTGTTTTCCATAGCAGTTTGCAGTGTTCTTTCAGAAACCCTCCACCTCCCCAGCTCCACCTGTATAGATCTGCTTTGGGTAATTTCATGCATTCTATAGAGACCTTATTCACATCAGCGGCATCATTGGTTTTTAACAGGAATGAAATCGAGGCTGTGAGGGATGGACATACATCTCTTCAGTATTATTACTGTTATTTAATGTGTGTTTGGATTGTTCTGCTGACGAAACACTGCAAAATATATTTCCGAGAAGTTTCAATACAAAAAACGATAACAGCAGCAGCAGTAGTGTAGCAGATCTATTCCGTCAAGACCAAATACATTAACATTGTCATATCCATTACCATGCTAAATTCAGAGAGTTGTCATGTTAGAAATAAGGCAATGAATATAGCTGCAAGCAGGATTTACAGTGCCAACCACAATAAAGATGTGGTCAGATTTAGTGTTGTTCGGCAAGTTTTTGAGGGCGAAATTCAGTAATTTCAACAGGAATCCACACGATTGGGAATTTCACATCAGGGTGAAATATTTCCCAATGCAGATTTCACAACAAGCTCGTCACGCGTTAACCAACAGAAAGCTAGTTGTTTTGAAATTGACTTCTGTCTGAGCTGTGCTTCATACATCACAACAATATTAACAATAGACAATGTATCTGTATTGCCAGCTAAAGTTCGCAGAAATTTCACAGAAAATTTGCTAATGTGACCAAAACTTTACAGCATAAACAAACTATTACAAGAATGTTTAATGCGTCGTCACATCCCCTGTAAAGACTTTAGCCCCAGTCAAGCCATGAGTGTAGTAACTCACTATTTATAATTGGCATAATTTTTCTGTGTGGTCTGTGATCGGAACAGACCTGCCACCCACCCGTTGACTTTGGCAGTTGGCACAGCATTCATTTCTCTCTTTCTCTTGTCTGGTTAGGTATAGTGGAAGTGCTGATGTGTCGTGAGAGAGCGCGGAACTCTCTGGGTCGCGTGTTTGTGAGTCAGGTGAGTCGGCCATCGTGTGTGTGTGTGTGTGCAGAAAACCCCCTGCCCTACAGCATCAAACATGTAGAAAGCAGATCGAGTTCACCTCCGTCCTCTTTTTCTGATCTCTTCTTTATAAATGTATGGTTTTAATATGTGTAAAAATGCTATTTTGGCTAATTTGACACATGTGATGATATAGCTCAATAATTTTACTGGTGCTTTAAATTTCCACCACACATATTACAAGACATAATTCTTTTTATGATCTTTTGAGATGTAAATAAATAAATAAATACATTACAAATAATGTATGATATAACTTCAAGATGCAACCCAATCGCTGTTATGGTTTTTGAATATTATATTCACTTGATTTGTGGATGTTTCATTTCTGTCCATTTTCTTCTGTCTGTTTCCACAAAGTAGAATAAGAATCTTTTTCATATTTTTTTCATGAGAATGTCTGGCAAAAGTGTGTCAGGCCTTAAATAAATAAAGACAAGAATAAAAAGGGCATATTTCTCCCAGAATTCTGCCTCAAATCAATATCTTGAGTTTTATCTTTCTCTGTCTATATATGCATCATTATCTGTCATTTTCTGTGTAGATGAGAGAGCTGGTGTCATCGATACATCATGACGCAGCAGTTCGTGTGGTGATCTTTAGGAGTTTGATACCCGGAGTCTTTTGTGCAGGTTTGTGTAAGGAATCTCTCACACAAAACCAAAGGCAACTTTGCCAAAGTTGATGTAATTATAATAAAAAGACTTTCTCATGCTCATGTTGTTTTGTACAGGAAATACTGTATCAGTATTCAGATATTTGCATATGCCATAATTAGTCTTTTTGTGTGTTAACAGGAGCAGATCTTAAAGAGAGAGCCCAGATGAGTAATCCTGAGGCAGAGCTGTTTGTACATGGCCTGCGATCACTAATGAGTGACATCGGTGAGACATGAAGATAATGATTCTCATGAATATTGCAAAATGACTAATCCTCCACATAAAGTGCCGTAGTATAATGATACAGAAGTCTGAATTCTGATAGGGCTGCACTGAAAAGGTAATGTTTCCCAGCTGCAAATATGATTATGGCTGGAGGAGGTGAGAGTGATTGGATATAATAAACCCACAGAAAGCACATTTTCCCTCAATGCCCTCAGCTTTTGCAAAGTCATGCAAATAACATTTTTGGGAAATGCAGCTGTTTTTATAAGCAATAAGAACATTCTCTATATAATTGTCTACATGTTTAATCAAAAGTAAAGTAAATGAGTGTGTATACAGTTGGGTGAAATGCTTCTAATTAAAAAAAATGAAAACAAACTTTGATCAGCATAACAGTTTGAGGTAAACGAATTTGAAAAATTAACTTGATTTTCTGTAGTTGATATTTTGAAGGATTTTCTTCAGTTTCATTAGTAATTTTTATTTTTATTTTTTTATATCGACTAACTTTAATAACCAAAAATATATTCGTCTGTGTCCCACAATTGCAATTCCAGTGACTGCAGGATTTTCTCTCATTACAAAACAATTCGCATTTTGTGCATACAATTGCGTCACCCAGGAAGTGACATCATTTGGATTTTTTTCTAAAGCATGACAGGAAGACAAATAGTTGCTTAAACCATTTTCTCAATTTTGACATGTATTGTTTGTTGACAGCATTTGTCAAGCTCAAAATTGAACAAAATGAAACATATTTCTTTAATTTATAAGAAACATGGGGTGTCAGTAAGATTTTTTTTTAAGTGACAGTAAAGACATTTACTGTATGTTAAAAAAAATTCTATTTCAGATAAATGCTATTCTTTTGAACTTCCTATTATTAAAAAAATCCTGAAACAAAATGTATCACGGTTCCCACAGAAATATGAAGCAGCACAACTGTTTTCAACATTGATAATAATAATAATAAGAAATGTTTCTTGAGCATTAAATCATATTAGAATGATTTCTGAAGGATCATGTGACACTGAAGACTGGAGTAATGATGCTGAAAATTTTGCTTTGATCACAGAAATAAATTACATTTTAAAATATATGTAAAATAATTCAATTATACTAATATTACTGTTATTATTACTGCAGGCTTGCAAAAGAGCATAAGAGACGTCTTCCAAAAACATAAAAAAATCTTTTGAACAGTATGAATAGTAACTAAAAACATTTGTTCCTAATTGAACTATATGGTCGATTTTTGTTTGACTATTTTTAAAATGGTAACTTTGTGTTATTTTCAGGTTTCCTTTTGAATCCCAGATTTTCATTGTGTCCCCTCTCTATCAGTCTGTCAGCACGAGCACATTCAGTCAAATGTGTTTCAGGAGAGGTCCAGCTGTTTGAAAGCTTCTCTCATTAATGTGATCTATGACCTGTCTGATTGGTGTGTGTGTGTCCATTATGTGCCAGCTGCGCTGCCCATGCCAACCATTGCGGCGGTGGACGGCTTTGCTCTCGGGGGCGGTTTGGAATTGGCTCTGGCGTGTGACCTTCGCACTGCAGGTGAGCGGCTTGACCTTCTGAGGATAGATCACGACAGGTATCACAGCTGCTGATGGTGCAGGTGTGGGGTTGCGTGATTTGTTGCAGTTCTGTTTGGCACGTCACGGACCGGGTAATTTCGCCGGTCACTGCATGAGAAGGCTGGGTCCTTCAGCTGACCTTTGTCTGTGATTGTGTGTGTTTTGCAGCACATTCTGCGCAGATGGGCCTGATTGAAACTACGAGAGGATTACTCCCAGGGGCTGGTGAGAAAAATAAATGAATAGATAGAGCGACCTGAAATAATAAGAGTCCCATTACAAAAGAGAGACAGATAAACAGGAAGTTAAGAGAAAGACCGAGGTAATTGGAGAGTGAAACAGCAGTGCCTTGCAAAAGTTATTAAGAACCTTATACAATCTCTTTATTGAATTATAATTGTAACAAATTTTAAACATGACATAACTTAAGGCAAGACACACCAGTTGAATAGGGTACACATTGAACTAATAGATATCACCATACTTCCCCTGTTGATTGATTACATTATGAATTGCAATAGACTACAAGTTTTCTGAAATGTTATGTTTGAATATGCAAATGTGGCATATCTACCGTAATATCTAGTTAAATGTGTAATAATTTGCATTCATTTCCAGAAGTCTGAACATTATTTCATTTGGTTGACATATTAAAGTTAAACGTTTTAACACTAAATCAGAAAATCCTGTCAACAGCCAGATTACAAATCACCATGTTTTTAGGAATAAAATGTATCAAATCAGGCAAATGATATATGAACCAAACCCTCTGTAACCTTTAGAATGTAGATACATGTATGCAAGTGCTACTGAAGTGAGATTTCAGTTTTTCAGATTTATGGCTCTATCATCCTCTATGCATGAGAAAAATAGCCTGGCAAGCCAGACCTACATCAAGATGTTAGGTCTGGGAACTCACAATTGGCATACCTCAATCCGAGGGGCGGGATAAACGGTTGTCTTTCAATATCCCTCGGCACGCAATAGGACAGCGCTACAACCAACCAGAGCAACGAACGGTTGTGGCTGTGTGAGTCCCATGCGTTTTTCCACCAGCGGAGCTATTTGATATATTAAACTTAAACTCCGAACACATCTTCCTTTTTTAAGAATGACTTAAGTTACGTTCTCTTAACTCCAAGTCCTCCAGAGTCGCGGCCAAATCCGATTCGAAAGACCGCTGTTCGCCAGCAGCATCTTCTTTGTTTTCAAGTAACGTTAGCAGGGAAATCACGAGCAACCGTCACATCTCTGCCGTCATTGTTAAGCCCGCCCACCAACTCTATACACAATGTGATTGGCCTGACCAGAGTTTGGTTTTTCCAGCTCGAAAAGCCAACGGAGAGTTGCTAGACCACACTTTGCTGCAAAAGAATTTTTGCTGCCGCTAGGGAGCGTCTAGATTTCTAGGCTATGAGAAAAACACATTTCGATAAAACGCCCCATAAAGATATGTTTTGAAACCATTACCAACATTCTTCAAAATAGCTTATTTTGTGTTCCACAAAGTCATACATTTTTTAAACTACAAGCATTATCAATAGGGGGGGAAACAAAACAAAACAGGCTGAAACAAACATACCTCCAAATTATGTTTTTTCATTAAAAAAAAATATATATATAAAAAGATTTGCTAGGATCATTTTCTGATATAATGAACAACTTTGAGCTTCGGTGAATTGAAAATTAAAATAACACAAAGAACCAAATGTTGTGGCATATGTATTTAAGTAAAATGAGAGAAGTGATGACATATCTGATTACTTTTTAAAGCCGCCATAAGTAAATCATCATTTCTCGGTGTTTATCAGGAGGCAGTCAAAGGTTGCCCCGGACGGTGGGCTTTGCCATGGCAAAAGAGCTGATTTTCACAGGACGCCGTGTCGGGGGTGAACAGGCTGCAGAGTTGGGGCTGGTCAACCGCTCCGTGCCACAGAACCAGACACGAGACGCGGCCCACAAAGAGGCTCTTAGTCTTGCACGAGAGATCCTGCCTCAGGTGAGTCTGCAGGACATTTCCATTATTTACTTTTTCTCTCAGTCTGAGACACTTTCTCGCCTCTTCTACTGTCTTGCTGAATTATACTCTCTTCTGTTGTGAACACACTCCAACACTATGGGTTACACTCTGATAGTGTCCTGTGAAGTGAACTTCACAAGGTACTCGGCCATCTCAGATCTTCAGGAGTGTATGCTTAGTTCAAAGGGTGTTTCACACTGCATTATACAGAAAACCTGTACATCAATATAGACAGGAAAATGTACCCACTGCATTAAACACCGCATAGCAATCAAGAAAATGTGTTTGGTGGACCATGACAAATTACACAATTTATATACACACTATATAGACAAAAGTATTTAGACACACCTCTTAATTTTTGAATTCAGGTGTTTCAATCAATTGCCACAGGTGTATAAAATCAAGCACCTAGCCATGCACTCTGCTTTTACAAACATTTGTGAAATTCTGAAAAGCTCAGTGAATTCAAGTATTGTACATTGGTACAGTTCGCGAAATTTAATTCCTGCTAGATGTTCCACAGTCAACTGTAACTGTACGTTCACACCGCCGCCAACTTGAGCGTCAAAGAAGCTCTGGCTGCCCTGTCAAGGACGCTTGTCAAAAAGTACGGGGAAGCTTGTTGACGCTTTGAACGCTCTGACGTTGCAGGGAGAATAGAAGCGTCACAACAGGAAATGTAATAAACAGAAAAAAACAAGCAATACATTGAAGAAACCTTTTATATTGACAGCATTTTTATAACCGTTTTGGTCACATTTGGTCGGGGAAAAAAGAATAGTTAGCTATTATTATTTGCGGTCAAATCGGTGTCACCGTGAGCAAATGAATTGCATTCCCGCTTTAAAACGAGCTAATATTTCAAATAAAAGTTGCGCTCATGCAGTCCCTATAAGCAAACAACGTCATGTCATAAATGATAGGAAACCTGTAGGAAACCCAGCAACGGCGATTATTAGCTTCTCTTCCATTTTCTCGGAACTAATGTTTTGGTAGGAACGAACGTTTACATTGTAAGTTTCTCCGGAATCAGCCAGGGGTGCGTTTCCCGAAAGCATCGTTAGCCAACTATGGTCGCAAGTTGGTCGCAAATCCCATTGAACTCTATTGGTAACGACGGAACTTGCGACCATAGTTGGCTAACGATGCTTTCGGGAAACGCACCCCAGGACGTCTTCCGATTGGTTGCTGGCGTTTTGCCGCTGCTTGCCGCTGAACCGCGTCACAGCTCATTACCATAAAGTTGAGCTTCTTTCAACTTTCTGATTGACGCTCAAAACGCCCAAAACGCGACGCCGATGGATTTGACGCTCCTTGCGGCTGAGAAAAGCCAGCTTCCATTGAAAATGAATGACTTCCGGCCGCTTTGGAAGCTCAAGTCGGCGGCGGTGTGAACGTACAGTAAGTGGCATTATTGGAAAGTGGAAGCGTTTGGGAACAACTCCACCACGAGGCGGAAGACCACGTAAAGTTACAGAGCAAACCGGGTGTGTGGTGCGTAAAAGTGAGCAACGCTCTGATGATCTCATAGCTGAAGAGTTCCAAACTTCCACTGGCATTAATATCGGCACAAAAACTGTGCGGCGGGAGCTTCATGGAATGGGTTTCCATTGGCGAGCAGCTGCATGCAAGCCTCACACCACCAAGTACAATGCGAAGCATCGGATGGAGCGGTGTAAAGAACTTCGCCACTGGGCGCTTCTCTGTTTAGCAGTCTAATGGGTGAGTCTGGTTTTGGCGGATGCCAGGAGAATGTTACCTGCTTAAATGCATTGTGCCAACTCTAAAGTTTAGTGGAGGAGGGATAATGGTGTGGGGCTGTTTTTCAAGGGTTGGGCTAAGCCCCTTACTTCCAATGAAGAGAAGTGAAATTTCTTCAGCATACCAAGACATTTTGAACAATGCTATTCTTCCAACTTTGTGAAACAGTTTGGGAAAGGCCCTTTTCTATTCCAGAATGACTCTGCACAGTCATAAAGGTCCATAAAGACATGGTTGGATGAGTTTGGTACGGAAGTACTTGTGAATTGGACCATGTGAATGTGTGTGCGCCTAATTTTGCAGGGTTTTTCCACTGTGTATTTAACAAGTGTTGCTCATAGATATTAATGTTTATGTTAGTTTGTTTCTGTGTTCTTGAAATTGTTCTCATACTAGTACAGCTGTAGCCATAGGCATTTCACTGGGTGTACTTGTGATTTAATCCCATTTGCATCATGTGACACGGTTCTGTCACGGAGACCGTCTCCCATCATGACTCGAGACGACAGGCCGGCCATGAATATATGTATGGCCTCAAGAAAGACAGACCTGGCTCAAATGTTCCATTACAATCTTCCCTAGTGTCCAGAGCACACAATTAACTCCATAAACAATGTAATTACAAAAGACATGTGTGTAATCCAGTGCTTGATCTTGTTATACGTTGCCTTTGGAGTGAACCTTCAAATATCAGTCATATCATCGTCATTACATGACTCGGCATGTGGAGTTGTGGAACTGGAATCTTCTGTACTGTACTAAACTCTCTCGTGTGTCATGACCTTGAGAACATCCTGCTTTTCTGGTTTTCCCAGTGATTGACAAGCCGTTAAATTAGATTAAAATTAAGTTGGCCTATTTAGGTCAGTGTGAGAACGGCATTCTGACATGTTGTGCCACAATAACTTCTGTCAGCAGCACTTCTGTCCACCTGACTTAACTGTGTCATTGTGATTATGTGACCGCGTCAAAAACAGATACAGTGCAGATTTTACAGTTGCACTGATAGATAATAAACAGAGGCCTGAATTGTTGACTCGGTAAGATTTAATTTTAAAGAAATGTATCCTTTTTTTCAACAAGGATGCATTAAATTGATCTAAAGTGACAGTAAAGACTTTTACATTCGTATAAATTAGTTCTATTTCAAATACTTGCTTTTCTTTAGAACTTAAATAATCCTAAAAAGAATGTATCGTGGTTTACACAAAAATATTAAGCAGCACAAATTTTTTTTTTTACATTATAATAAATGTTTCCTAAACATCAAATTAGAATCATTTTTGAAGAATGCAGTAGTGATGCTGAAAATTCAGCTTTACCATCACAGGAATAAATTATATTTTCAAATAGAAAATTATAATAATATTTTACAATATTACTGGTTTTGCTTTATGCAGCCTTGGTGAGAAAAATAAACTTCTTGGGGGGATTTTTTTTATCTTACTGGCCCCAAACATTAAAAGTGTGGAAAAAAAAATCCCACATTTTTACCTCAGCGAAAATGCAACAAGCAACTCGCATTTCCTTTAGAAAATGAAAACCTAATCTTATTTTCAGCAGAAGATACATTTTCCTTGTTACGCTTTCCTCCCTCTCCAGGCCCCGATTGCCGTGCGAATGGCTAAATTAGCGATGAATCGAGGCTCTGAGGTGGACATCTCTTCAGGGATGGCTATTGAGGGAATGTGTTACGCCAGGGTGAGTGTTATACATAAACCATATGAATCAAATCTGTACAATTTGGCTGTGTTGCAGTATTTTGTGTGCTTGGTTTGACTTAATGTTTTGCATTCTCTCAGCTCATTCCTACAAAGGACAGACAAGAGGGCATGACTGCGTTTATAGAGAAGAGGCTGCCACGGTACACTGGAGAGTGAAAGTTTTAACAGTACAGTTCAAACATATTGTACATTCCGTACTACAAAGTGTTGGGTTTCAAATTTCTTTTTAAAATCACAGAGCTTAAAAATAACTACCAAATTTTTTAAAAAGTTTGTCATGCCCTTTTTTTTGTTGTCAAGTTTGTCTCGTTTCTGGATTGAGTTGCTAATATTGAGAAAATACATCAAATAAACAGACTGATCTCATGAAATGGCGTATGTATGACACGCCAATTCGTATTTCCATTTTTGGCGTGCTATCAACACGCATAATCGCTTTTCAGCGTGTTTATCAACGCCTTTGACTTAACGTTATATTACTGTATTATGTACATATAAATATATGACCTACCCCAACCCCGTCCCTAAACCTACCCGTCACTGGGGTTAATACCATTTATGAGTCTTCTCCTACCATCCTAGGAAAAGAAATATCGCTCCACAGATGTAGAATATAGATTTTGCTTCGTTTCGCTCGGACATTTAACGGCGTACACATACACGCGGAATCACTCGGACGTTTAATGGCGTAGACATACACGCAAAAGATTTCGGCGTGGACATACACGCGGATAGCTCAAAATGCGTATAGATAACACGCCACTTGAATTGAAAGTGGCGTGTATGTTTACGCAAAGTCATGATGTCATGTTGCAATAAAATACTTTTAAAAAAGTAATAAAAAAGTATTAAAAAAAACAACAAAAAAAAAATTAGGGATGCACCGATATGAAGATTTTGGCCAATAACCGATAAATCTTTATATTTGATAACCGATATCGGCTGATAAATCTAAATCCAATTTTTTTAAAATAAATTTTGGGAGCCTGATCACAAAAACAAAAGTCTCACAATTAAAATCCATATCCCAAGGACACAATTATATTGTCATTATAATTTTATGTAGCCTATATGACAGCACGTTGCACTTAACTGTATTTTCTTTTTTGAGGTAATTTCAATCATATTCATCTATTCTAAAGTGTCTCAGCTGAAGGAAATGATCCATTATTTATCGGCTTTAATGTATAGGCCAAATTTTCTTCTCTGGCCGATAACGATAACATTAAAAACTAACATATATCGGCCAATACCGATATGTTGGCCGATATATTGTGCGTCCTTAAAAAAATATAATAGTTTGTCATTTTGGAGCTAGGATATTCAAATTGTAATATTTATTTGAATGCTTTAATTTGAGAAATGCTTTAACATGAACGTGTTAATAAAGATGGACAGCAGACTGAAGCAACAGGGGTTTTACATTCTTTATTCCCCAAACATAATTTTGCATAAACGGGAATCCGAGCGGCAGTATGACACTGTAGCATTCTCTGGTTTTGCAGCTCAATCCACACTCTGCGTGAGGAAGATAACGGTAGTACAACACAGAACTAAAATCCACATACATGATGAGATTCTCCACGCTCGGTCTGAAGAGTTCAGTGAACCCAGAGGTCATTTGGTCCATTTACACAGCGGCAGATTCAATTTAACCTCAATAATTGTTAGTGCCGCAACTTTATCCAAAAACAGGCAGTGTTGTGATGAATTTCAGTGGTATAAACCTGGCCAAAGTTGCCAAACACTCAACAAAATTACAGTCCAAATTATAACAAGGACTTATATTGCATGCTATTTGCAAGAACAGCTGCATGACACAACAAGATTTTCTGGAACAAAGCATATTTGTTGGAGCATCTCATCATTATTCATGGCCCAGTTACGAATAGAAAACCATATCCATGCTGCGAAAAACAAGGATACACATCCAGGGAACATGTATATACAAAAAAAAAAAAAATACTTTAGTTCATTGGAACAAAATGGAGTATCTTTTTTAAATGCAATTTCAAACAGGACAAGTTGACCCTGCTGTTTAAAAGCTTAATCTGTGTTCAATTAAATCAAACTTAAGTTTATATGTGCGTTTAGCAAAAAGGCAAATCCAATGACTTTTGGCAAATCACCAGTGCTCCAAAGTTGCCACGATCAGAACAAATATTCCCTAAGATCTTCCTCTTGCCTTTGTATTTTTTTAAAACAAGGTGCCATTTATCTGTGTTCGTTTTTTTATGTCTGCCGTCACAGTCCGTTGCTTGATTTCTGCAAATGGTTTACGAGGCAGTAATCCATTTATTGACAAGTTCCTGCTTTGCCTCAACAGATCCATGCAATAAAGAGAGTCTGAAGGCAAAAGCTTTGATTTTATTAATCTCCGCCCGTTCCGTTGATCATTTCGGCTTCTGAAGAGCTCCGGGTTGTTGAGGAATCTTCGGCTTAGGTGTTCAGTCCATTTTGTACCATTTTTAAAACAAACTCGAATCTAAATCGCAATACTTTGCGTGCAATACGACACACAGACCATTATAAACATTGTCATCTGCCACAGTTGATATACTGTGTATAAAAATAGATTTCATCCCTAAAGCTCTCATGCATTGACAAGCGTTATCGCACAGATCGCACACGCAATTTTAACATTCCACACTAAAATTTACCAAACAGTTCAAACGTATTAAATATGTTCATGTATTTCCACGTAACCCAACTGTATCCGATTAGATTGCATTTTATGCTGAATAGGACAGAAATCTGTCACATAAATGACATTTCCTATGGAGTTTTATCCAAATCTGAATATGCATATGTAGCTTTCTGATGCACATGCTCTTAGTACACGTGGACATGCACGCACACACACATATAGTTATATAAACGCTCACATCCATAATCATGTTTAACAAACACACTCTCTGAGCTGCTGCCTGTCTAAATAAACATCAGATCACTGAGACTTATTTCAAATAAATAACGGATTCGGTCGTGTGCAAACATATGCAAAGTAACTTATACACACGTTCCTCTTTGCAGAAAGAACAGCAGAGTATCGTTGTCATACGGATGGGCACGAGTGAACACATACACGTACAAAAAGAAACAACTTTTGCAGCGTCCCATCCAGAGACCACTGACCAAAAAGAACCGTGTCATGGAATGTTTTTCTCTGGAAAACAGAGAAATTTAGAATAAAAACTTTTGTCAGATATAAAACTGAACAATCAAGCTTTCGAAAAAGAAGTTTTGAAAGTTGCCCCCAAAATTGAAAATACTGTCATCATCTACTTGTCCTCATGTCGTCCCAAACCTGTAAGACTTTTGCTGAACATATTTTTGATGAAATTTGAGAGATTTCGGTCCCACACCGATCGCTTTATATGATGAACAGACTTCATTTGGGCTTTTATACACACATAAACATTGATCAGTGAATGACCAGAGTACTAAAATTTGGTAAACGGAAGCTCAAGCATGAGCCAATGAGGTTTGTTCTTGCGCGTCAAGCAAGTACGATTGAGCTTCTGTTTCAAAGCGCTCTGTGTTCGCTGATCAATGTTCATATGCGATTAAAAGCTTGAATTCAATCTGTTCATCATATAAAGTGATCGGTTCTCTTCAGTAGATTTGGCTTAAACCGCTCGATTCATATGGGTTTATTTTTTATGATCTCTTTATAAAGCGCCAGAGTTTTGGGTTAACAGACTTTCAATGGAGGGACAGAAATCTCTCCGAATTTAATAAATCTTCATCTGCGTTTCGAAGATGAATGGAAGTCGTAATTGATTGACAGAATTTTCATTTTTGGATGAACCATCCCTTCAAATTTAAAAGGAACAGTCCTGCGTTTCAAAAGGCACTTTCGTTCGTCTGTGGAGACGTACCTGTATGTGTGTGTATTTTTGCCGGGACTGCGTATCCTGTGCGTGCTCTGTGGCGATGTAAACTGTCTAGGATGCTTTCAGCCAATCGCAGCACATCGCCGTGGGTTTTGGGATGCGACATCACGGCCTCTAGCTGCCGCAGTCCTCCCTCCTCCAGTAACATGCTGCAGTACCGCCCCGCTGCTTCCACCAGGGCAGAATGGGAAAACAAAATGAACACAAATGTCTCTGGGCTCAGAAGCGTTGGGTCTAGGGTGCTGATCTCACCATTTTTGCTGCAGACGTGCTGCATGGCCCATGCGGCCCACAGCTGAACTCCTGGGGTCTGGAAGCACTCCAGTAAAGGGAAGAAAGGGTTGAACGATCTGAAAAAGACACACCGGACACGTCATCTCATTATAATACTAGAAAACAATCTTTATAGTGCATAAATGGCACTAGGTAAAGATCCCAGACTTGACACCAGTGTTGTTGTTGTTAACTAAACAGATTAAAAGTGTTTTGTTTATTGAAATAAAATATTGGATAAAAAAAACTTATTTAGTTTAGTTGCCAAGGTAACATTTCTAATTCATTTCATTTGAATGGAAATAATAAAATAATAATAAAAAAGAGAAATAAAATTCTAAATAGAATTAAAAAATAAAACTTTAAAATAATAGTATAGAAATAATAATAATACAATAACACTGCTCAATACAACCAGTAGTCAAAAATGTTTTAGTTAATTCATTTTAGTACAAAAAGTGTCCATTTTTTTATTAAAAATAAATAAAAAAAGCTCCAGTATTATTCAGTTTGACCCTTTTTGGTTAACAATTAACATTTTCTGAAGGTTAAGTGCCTATTCACATGTTTCCTTGGGGAAAAAAGAAAAGAAAAAGATAATAAAATATTTAAACAATAATAAACTTAATTAATAATAATTCATATGTATATTTATAAAAAAATATATATTTATATTATTGCTATTATTTCTTTGAGAAATACATTGCACTGTGCAATAGTGATACGTTTCTATAATAATGTCTTCAAGTTAAACTGTGTTTTCCACATCACATGTTCATAGGTCTACATAAAAACATCAGTGTGTTAGTCAGGTCTGGTCTTGGGTTTCAGTAGCAGAGCTCTGGTACTTGATACAGTGTCCATGGTTCACATATTCAGTAAAAAATATTTTATTGTGGTGTAATTTCTCACCTGTACGCTACCATCTCACATTCCGGCGTTGGCCACTTCAGAATCGCTGAATGCTGCGAGAGACACATGATTAAGCCATTTACTCAGGCCTCTGGTGTAATACCCAAGCAATTTTGACTTCTATTTGCACAAGCACGCACCAGTTGCTCCAGCAGTGTGTTCCTGAGCGACATGTCGAGGGTCCACACCTTCTCGCCCCGTGAGGTGAGGTGGGCCAAGATGCCTGCTGCGAAATAACTGACCTCCACCTCTGGACTGTGCAGCAGAGAACAGATGTGATCCAGAAAACTTTGAACCATCAGCTCACCGTGCAACTCCCCCACTTCAGCGATATTATTCTGAACACACAAGCACACGAAACATTCAGAACTAGACAAGATAGACAAAGCACAATAGCACAGAAGAACTCGGCTACAAAAATACCACTGAATGCAAAATGAAATAGCCTCATTATACTTTCTAATTAAGAGAAACTATTAGCATAATCCCTCAGCGGTGCTTCCTCTGACACGAGAAGCCGTTTTATCAGTGCTGCCCACAGCTCCAGAATCCCCACAGCACTGGAATATGCATTTCCCTCTTTAGAATTATTAAAGGGTTGATACAAAAAAAAAAAATCTTATTTGATATGTTTTATATGCTTCTTAAAATAGTCTCTTATACTAAAAAAAAAGAAGTCTCTTATACTCAACAAGATTTATGCATATTTGACCATTAATATTGTGAAATCATTCATTTAAATGATGCTGAATTTTCAGCATCATTACTGATTTGGTGTTAAAAAAACATTTCGTATTATTTTCAATGTTGAAAACTGTTGTGCAGCCTAATATTTTGTGGAAACAGTGATACATTTTTTTTTCAGGATTCTTTAAATAGAAATGTCAAAATAACAGTTTATTTTGAAATTAATAATCCTATCTAACATAAAAGTTTGTAAATGTGTATATATGTGTGTGTGTGCACGTGTATGTATATGTGTGTATGTATATGTTGTATATATATATATATATATATATATATATATATATATATATATATATATATATATATATATACACACACACACACACACACACACAAACACATACATACAGATTAATCGATTTGACAGCACTATTTGAAATGTAGATGTACCATAAATTTGTACCAATGATTTACCTGTTAATTTTGATCAATTTAATGCCTCTTTGCTGAATAATAATAATAAAAAATTCTTATAAGAGACATCTTACTGACCCCAAACTTTTGAACAGTGGTGTATGTGTATACAATTGACATATTATATTCAATAAAAATAAAAAATCTCAATATGAACTTATGAACCTAACTTTATACATTGTTTCTTACCAGTAAACCCAACACCTTCTGTTGAATGGATGACTCTGATGGAAAGGACTGAAAAAACAGAGATTTAGAAAATTAGAACTTCTGATCAAGTTAACAAATTACTGTTATGTTCTTCCACAAATTCTATAAAAAGGTTTGAAAAGCGTTTACCTCGAGTACTTTGATGAAGAGCTCTAGTCCCTGGTTCTCTATGAAGTGTCTGCAGGTGGTAGGAGATTCATCCGTGAGGTTCCACAGAGCGCTGAGTGTGAACTTCAACGTGGCGTCAACGGTACCCTGACACGTCTTCTGCCGCACAATGTGCAGGAGTTGCTATGATGTGAAGAGTGTGTGAGAGATAAGTATACACTATTCTTCCTGTTCAGGTGTTACAAGTGCTAACGGTTAAATCTAGTGGGAAAACAAAAAAAAACTCCCATACCTTTACGATAAAAAGCTCAGCTCCCAATTGTGCAGTTTGCTCGGTGGACAGCTATTTAAGAAACACACACAAAGACATTCAAACGAAATCCTTCATTTCCAACAGAGAGTAGTAACGGAGCTGATAGTGGAAATACGAGATAGTGTAAAGGCTGTTTTCGTCTGGTTATAAAATCGTTTTATTTCTGATCCATTTGACAGGGTAAAATCTCCCCAAATCCCTCTCCACGTAAATGTATATTAAACATCGGATACGTTCTAATTCCATGTGATTGTGTCACGCAGCCATTTTGTGTTCAGACCAACTGCTTGATATTTGCTACTGTACCTTTAAGACTTCTAAATGTAAATGGACCCTTGATTGGCTAATCTCTCTGCATGTGAAATAGGCAAAAACAGTATTGAAAAAAAGAAATGGATTAATTGTCATATGCAAATACATTCACTGTTTCGACGTCGTCATTTAAAAAAAAAAAAAACATTCGCAGACGGGTTTCGGTTAACAAACATTAACAAAACTTTTAATAAAAAACAAAACAAACTTTCCATGAGAGCAGCTTAGATAAACTCTTCTGACCTCCGCAGACAAGACATCATCGCTCTGACGTGACAGGCACAATCTGCTCGTCTCGCGTCTGTCATATTGCATTTCACAATGCATTACTGTGATAGAATGCTCTGAATGTTTTGTGGGAGCCTCCCAGGTCACGTTTCGTCTCTACGGTTAAACCGGTTCTCACCCGCAGACTGTAGCTGCTCACCTTGGCAGCGAGAATGGAGATAATAGCTACGGCCATCCTCTGCATGTTCTGATCCTCGTGGTTACACAGCCACTGCATCACCAGCTTGGCAGCTTCAAACCTGAAAAACAAACGGCAAAATTGACCCAGATACACTGATGTGATGTTTAAAATCTGTCAACAAGACAACACACTACCAGTTTTGGACACACTTGACTGAAGGTATGTCTCTGGTAACCTCAAAAAACTATTAGTAAAAATTTGGTCAAAAAAAAAAAAAAATTTTTACACAAAAATATGATATATTGATAATCAACATAAATAATAAATGTTTCTTGAGCAGCAAATCATCATATTAGAATGATTTCTGAAGGATCATGTGACACTGAAGACTGGAGTAATGATGCTGAAAATACAGCTTTACCATCACAGGAATAAATTACATTTTAAAATAGATTCAAATAGAAAACAATTGTTTAAAATTGTAATAATTTCACAATATTACTGGGGTTTTTTTTTCTATTGAAAATAAATGCAGCCTTGGTAAAAGCAGAATAAACTTCTTTCAAAAACATTTAAAAATCTAACTGACTGGTATTTTCAAAAAGAAACTTACTTTTTACTTACCGGTACTTACGAAATTACTTCAAAAAGTTACTTAATTTCAGTGTTACTCCAGTGTGTATTCATAATATTACCACAGCATTATCAGCAGCAAGACAAAAACTCAAGAGAGTGATTGTTATATTTTGGTGTAGAAAATGTCACAACTGTAATTCATTCGTACTGTATAGTTGACCAAGCCATATTGAGATATCAAGTTTAACTCAACTCTCTGAGCAACCATACGGCTTTGTAAAGGGTTTATGAAACGTGTGAAAGTATATTTGAGGTGGTGTGTTGATCACACGCGTTTACCTGTTGAAGGGAACCTCCTGCAAGATTCGATCACTGCAGAGAGACAGCAGGCAGTTCTTCTGCAGCTGTACACAACCAAAAACAGAACTGCTGTTAAAGGGGAAATCAGAATGGACCTCTCCATGTCTTTTCCTCATTCTCAAAAAGCTCTTTTGTATCATCATGGGGAACTTAAACAAAGATGATTTAGACAAATTTAAATTATGTTCTCAGAATCACCTTGTTGAAAAGATACTTCCCGTAGAAGTGTTGACAACCATGCAAGTGACTACATTAATTTATAAATCCACTGTACCAAATAGGGCCAGACAATAAATATTGAACAATCAAAATATATTGCTAATGATTTTGCTTGTGATATAAAATTACACTGTGAATATCACAGTTGTTTAATGCACTTTTAAATTATCCATTTACTTTTCCTAAAGACCGCCATTAGATGGATTTATACTTCATTCGTAAAAACAGTGTTTGAGTCAATGTTATTTTAGTATTATTTATATACTATTATAGTATTTAGTAGTATTTTGAATAAGCTTTCATCTTTAGATTTTCAGTTCTCATTTTCATTTTAGTTTTGTTGTATTTTTGATCTTTTTTTTTTAAAGAATTCTATATAGCTTTAATTTATTTTAAGTAATTTTATTACATTTCTAATTTTCATTTATTTTTAGTTTAAGTTTTTCATCTAATATTTATAGGTATATTTTTATGTCAGCTTTATTTCAGTTAGCGAAAAGTATTTTTAATAGTTAAAAGTTAACAAACAAAACTGGTTTACGTTGGTCAGCTCGAACTATACTTTCAATGAACCAATTTAAAACTCTAATTAAATTTTTTTAAACAAAAATATAAATATAGCTATGCAAGGTCTCATTTGTTAACAATAGTTAATGCAATAACTAACATGAACCACATATTTTTTTTTTTACAAGATTTAAAAACCCTTGATCCTGTTAGTAAATAAAAAAAAAAAATTCATTATCATGCTAGTTCACACTCCATTAACTAATTTTAACAGATTAAACTTTTGGTTTTAATGTATTAGTAAATTATGAGATTAACTAATATTAGTAAATGCTGTAGAAGTATTGTATTATTATAAAGTGTTACTATATATACACTCACCTAAAGGATTATAATAGGAACACCATACTAATACTGTGTTTGACCCCCTTTCGCCTTCAGAACTGCCTTAATTCTACGTGGCATTGATTCAACAAGGTGCTGAAAGCATTCTTTAGAAATGTTGGCCCATATTGATAGGATAGCATCTTGCAGTTGATGGAGATTTGTGGGATGCACATCCAGGGCACGAAGCTCCCGTTCCACCACATCCCAAAGATGCTCTATTGGGTTGAGATCTGGTGACTGTGGGGGCCATTTTAGTACAGTGAACTCATTGTCATGTTCAAGAAACCAATTTGAAATGATTCCAGCTTTGTGACATGGTGCATTATCCTGCTGGAAGTAGCCATCAGAGGATGGGTACATCGTGGCCATAAAGGGATGGACATGGTCAGAAACAATGCTCAGGTAGGCCGTGGCATTTAAACGATGCCCAATTGGCACTAAGGGGCCTAAAGTGTGCCAAGAAAACATCCCCCACACCATTACACCACCACCACCAGCCTGCACAGTGGTAACAAGGCATGATGGATCCATGTTCTCATTCTGTTTACGCCAAATTCTGACTCTACTATCTGAATGTCTCAACAGAAATCGAGACTCATCAGACCAGGCAACATTTTTCCAGTCTTCAACTGTCCAATTTTGGTGAGCTCTTGCAAATTGTAGCCTCTTTTTCCTATTTGTAGTGGAGATGAGTGGTACCCGGTGGGGTCTTCTGCTGTTGTAACCCATCCGCCTCAAGCTTGTGCGTGTTGTGGCTTCACAAATGCTTTGCTGCATACCTCGGTTGTAACGAGTGGTTATTTCAGTCAAAGTTGCTCTTCTATCAGCTTGAATCAGTCGGCCCATTCTCCTCTGACCTCTAGCATCAACAAGGCATTTTCGCCCACAGGACTGCCGCATACTGGATGTTTTTCCCTTTTCACACCATTCTTTGTAAACCCTAGAAATGGTTGTGCGTGAAAATCCCAGTAACTGAGCAGATTGTGAAATACTCAGACCGGCCCGTCTGGCACCAACAACCATGCCACGCTCAAAATTGCTTAAATCACCTTTCTTTCCCATTCTGACATTCAGTTTGGAGTTCAGGAGATTGTCTTGACCAGGACCACACCCGTAAATGCATTGAAGCAACTGCCATGTGATTGGTTGATTAGATAATTGCATTAATGAGAAATTGAACAGGGGTTCCTAATAATCCTTTAGGTGACTGTGTATATATATATATAAATTTACCATTAAACATTTTGAATGTAGGCTACTTAAATCCCAATTTTAAACCATCGCACAGCAAATACATTCAATATTCTCAGATAATTTTATTTTGACCATGACAGACTTTTCTATACCACACTTGATCCAGCATTATTTTAGGTACCTGTTGGTGGTTGGGGAAGGTCTTCATGGCTTCGAGTAGCAGCTGTGTGACGTTCCCCAGGAGCCGCACGGGGATTCCAAAGGCCAGTTCCTGCTTGGTGAGGTTGAACACACAGGCACTGGCTGCCAGCTGCACATTCAACGTGGCCGGATGATTCTTCATCCCCAACGCGACCAACTGCAGAAGGGCCGAGAACAGACATGAGGGTTGATACGGAAAAATTCAGTGAACTTTGATTCATCTCCCGGTCTTGATGAGCGTCCGTACCTTCAAGATGTCGGGTCGTGGTTTCTCGATGGCATGAGTGAGGCTGAAGAGGTGGAAGAGAGCCTCTCTAACAAAGCCCTCCCTCTCACTGTACCTTCTCAACGCCTCACAGATTTGGGTCTCATTGGCTTCCCCAGTCACCTGCAGAAACAGAAAAACACTTACAACACTTATGACCTCCATTTGAAACGATCCTGCTGTGGTGTGCGAGCACCTACCTTTAAGCTGCCCTCTCCAGACAGGAAGTCAGAGAATCCAGCATCGGTGGCCAGCAGACCAACAAAGGTCATGCCCGGTCTCGCCTCCACGAAAGCCTTGACCGCTGTATCGGTCACCTGCTTGCGGCCAGACACGTCCAGAGACACCAGCTGAGGCAAGATGCCAGGAGTCTCCAGCAGCTGCCGCGCCACGTCTGATGTGAACTGCTTATCATCGGAGATATCAAGGTGCTGTAAACCCTCCAGCTGGAGAAACACAACAATAATGTGCCTTAGCTGTACATATACAATAGGGCGGCACGATTAATCACGCTGAAACCGCCCACAAGATTTGGCAAATGCTGCGATTATTTTATGCGCAGCTTGTCAGTGCAGCACGGCAAAGAATGTTGTCTTTTGTTGGACAAGAGGCTCATAAATGTTTCTCATGTTTGGAAAGATGTTTGACGAGTTTCTTCACAGTGCTTTGAGGTACGGCTCTTAAACGCTGCTCCATGTAAATGACAAGCTGGTAGGGGTGTAACGGTACATGTATTCGTATTGAACCGTTTCGGTTCGAGGCTTCCGGTTCGGTACGCATACAAACCGAACGATTCCTTGAACCATTTTGCCTGCCGACAAAATCCGCGCTGGCGCGACCACCACAACGTTGCGCAACATCAAATGGCAAGCGTAATGAAAGCGGAACGAAACTGCGCTACTCATGATGTGCTTCACGGATCGTTTATCAGTTCGGACCAGCAACATCTGTGCAGCGCGCGCCGATCTCGATCAAGCGACACTGTTACTACACAGCGCTAAGATCCAGTGAAGAAAACATTTGAATTCGCCACTGAAGTAATAACATCGCTGCGAGATCTAGTGAGAAGCATTTACATTTCTCCGTTATTAACCGTAGATATCTATCAGTTCAAACAGCGCTGACGTGGAAACCAGGAGAAACATTGTGCCGTGAATGAACTAATACTTTACGTCCACAGACCAGCAACATTCACCATGGATTTAATATAGTAACACTAACTGTAACCAGTTTGGCTGGAATAGTGAAATGCTTTCAAGTACTTCAAACATCTTTTTCCAGCACTTCAAAACTCAAATAATATATAAATATATATTTAAATGTTATTTTTAATGTGATGACCAAAACATTATTTGTTCATCCTTAAAAGATGACCCCCCATTTATAAACCTGAAAGTTTCAAGATGTAGGAAACTCAGTTAACAGATAACTCAGTTACGGTATTTAAAAATATTTTTTCTTTTAACAAATAGGAAATTTCTCTGGCATTTCTTTCTTTTTGCTGTATCGAAAACGTACCGAACCGTGACTTTAAAACCGAGGTACGTACCGAACCGTTACACCCCTACAAGCTGGGCATAAAATTAAATCACAGCCTTTGCGATTTCAAAATCACGATAAGCCAAATCGGTTTAAGTGCGATTTCAGAATTTCAAAACACATTGAAAAAATCTCGAGGGAACCAGTGGAGAATAAGTCTTCCAGGTTTTGATGTCATCCCTGCACCACTATTTTAGTAATCATCATAAATTAGATTTCCTTTGAAAGCCTAAACACTCAATTCATCCAGTGTAAATTATTGTGAAATTGGACATTGCATTACCTTGGAAATGGTACTTTAAAACATTTTAGTAGGCTAAATTTTTGTGATAAGGCTTTGATTTTCTAGTAATTTTAGAAACCCAATTATTTGGTAAAACATGTTGTACAAAATAAAGTACAAAGTACATCTGCTTTACAGAAACAAACTTCCACAGCATTTTCACTTTCATTTTGAAGTGCTACTTCAGCAATAATCTGCTGGGTGTCTTTAAAGAGACCAACCTTAGTACTGTATTGCGAAACATTCATGTCATGAATTACAACCATTTAAGTTCAGTCCTCTGCTCAAAAAGGACATCTTAAATACAATTCACCCCTACGATGACTTATATATTAATACACCATTTCTATGATGAGCATGTTTTCAATTTCTGTACTACAATTACATTTTTTAAATAATCTTTTGCAGCATGACGACAAAAAAGTCTGGGTGATACAACTGTTAGAAAAACAACAATGAAATTCTTAAAAGATGTTATTATGAGGTTTGGCATAATCTTTTCATTATGATTTCTTAAAATATTTAAACAAAACTGCTTCATTGCTTATTAATTACATAATTGAAAATGAATTGAGACGTTACTATTAGTATAGTCATTTTACAGTTGTACTATAAAATACATTTTTTATTAAATACAATTTTTAAGTAAAATAGTATTAGATTTGTCTTATTTTGTTTAATACTTTTACCAAGTAACAATCACAATATTATTAATAAAATAAATAATAAATATGTAAACAGTCATATTGAATGGGTCAAAAAGGGTCAGTGGGAATGTGAACTATATGATAACTTAAAGTCCACTTAAGGTTCCTGAAAGAGTTGGTTCTTGTTTGAGTAAACCCAAGTTTTTCCCAAATTCTTCAGCCCTAAAAGAATGGTTCTCACTCAGGAAAAAAAAAAAATCTTCAGAGTAAAATCTAATTTGATCATTTTAGTCCATTCATATGCACTCCCCTACAAGACCACCTCAATCGTTATACTATGACTAATTATTTCCAAATTGAGCCAGTCAAGACATCTGGTGAAACTTCCCTGTTGCATTTTTTCCATATTGCAATATACTGCAGAAAAATAATAATATCGCAATGCCAGTTTTTTTTTCTAATATTGTGCTGCCCTAAACCCCACAGACCTTCATGACTATGTGTCAAGTTCAATAAGTCTCTTAAAATATCAGATAATTGGACTTTTTGACAAAGCAAGATTAGTTACGGTTATAAAATGTCATGTGGTGCGACTCCCCAAAAACTCCCTTACTCTTTATTTTATGGTTACACGACATGACATTTTAGAGACATTAAAAATGACATATGCCTTTGTTTTTAGAAAGCGACAAAAATGCCCTCATTGACCTCAACATTACAAGTTGTAACACATGGATAGCTGACCTGACTGAGCACAGCTAGCAGCTGAGCGGTGGTCATCTCCAGCCTCTTGAGCTGGTGCATGGTGAGGTAGCGTAGCCTGCTCCTCAACCCCAGAAGCGGGGTCAGGTTCGTCACCGAGGTGTTGGAGATATCCAAACTCTCCAGGCGGGGCAGCGCGCACACGTCCACCAAGCCAGAGTCGTAAAAGTCGACGTTGGACACGCTGAGAGCGCGCAAACCCTGCATGGCGCTGAAACAGCGACGGCTAGGCTCCTCAAGAGAAGACATGGTCAGGCCGTTCAGGACGAGCCGCTGCAGGCCCTCCTGCAGGGTTTTGTTGGACGAGAGACCTCGAAGGATGTCGGCGATGGTGAGGTCGGCGTTGACCCGTGACGCGTCCAGCTCCACCAGGCGGTGGGGGCAGAGGGCCCGGTGGAAGGCCTCGGCGGAGATTCGAGCGGTGCGGATGCAGGCGTGGCGCAAGCGGAACTGCTGGCAGCTCCGGAAGATTCCCACCGTACTGTCGTTCAACAGGCCTGGAAGAGAATCCATTATGTTCAGTGTTTCGAATTTAAGATCCATTCATTTGAGTACACCCACTATGAGGAGGCCTGTTTTAGAGATCCGTGGTGGGACTCAACGCAACAGTGCGGCACGGGACAAGCTGGTCTCCATTGACGTCCATAGTATAGAAAAAAAGGTCCCACTTTAGATTAAGTGGCTTTAAATACTATCGAAAAATAAGTACAATGTACTTACTGTGTTCATGTTGTATTGTAAAACACTTTTGCTGCTATTGAGGTGTGATACGGGTGAGGTTAGGGACAGGTGTGGTGGTATGGGTGGATTAAGGTGTAAGGGAAGGGTCAACAGTGTAATTACATAAATTAATTACAGTTGTAATTACATGCATTTTTTTTTTTTAAATATAAGTACAATGTAAAAACATGCATGTACACAATAAGTCCATTGTATCAAATTATTCATTTCAATGTAAGTACATAGTACTTAAAGCCACTTAATATAAAGTGAGACCGAAAAAAAATACTATAGAAGTCAATGGGGTCCAACAACTTCTGGTTACCCACATTCTTCAAAATATATTTTTTTGTGTTCAGCAGAAGAAAGAAACTCATACAGGTTTAGAACAACTTGAGAGCGAGTAAATGATGACATATTTTGTTTTTTTGGGTGAACTATCCTTTTTAAATACTACATGAAACAATAATTATGCATTTTGTGTTCTATAGGAATGTCATTTCCCCTCGTCCTCACCCTCAGTGGCCATCTTGCAGAGCAGTTGGTCGGCCAGCTCCTGCGGGAAGACCAGCGGCTCGACCAGCGGCTCACGGAAGGAGAGAGAGCCGTCATCACGCATCTCACAGAAGAGCTCCAGCCTGGAGCTCACCAGAGTCATGCACAGATCGGTCAGAGACGGCGGGGACGCCTCGTCCTGCAACAACAAAATGACTCAGAGCTCAACATCAAATCTCTCTTACAACTTTCTTTTCCTATGGTACTGGATGTACTGGCGATGAAATTAAAGCCTTGATGTGTCAGATAGAAAACAAGAAACAAGGGAATGCGGGCGTTTTTACTTTCAGTGGCGGTGGATAGACAAACTCTTTACTGCATAATAGAACTTGTCCACGGATTTTTAAACTGGAGCCAGGGAGTGCTAGAGAAAATAAAAAATAGTGTCAACATAAAGTTAACACTTTACTTGAAGGGGTGTGCATAAGATTGACATGACACCTTCATAATCATGACATGACATGACATGTCATGAATATGACAGAGGTTTTAGGCATGTTTATGACAACTGTCCTTAAGTGTCATTTGCTCAGTTATGATATTTTTAATGCAAATATGACATTGTTTGAGATGTCTTTGTTATGAAAACTTGACATAAACCAATACATCATAACCTGTCGGTGTCTTTGTCATGACAACTTGACAAGACAACATAAATTGTCATAAACATGACATAGCAGATTAATAATCAAACTTAAAAGTGTCATATAATGGTACATGCACTTTTACAAGTTGATTCTACTGAAATGTGTGTTGGCAGTGCCTGTACACAACCATCATATAATGATAAAAATCCATCCAGTGTTTTTGTTTTAATCTCCTTATATGTTTTCCCCTGTCTCAAATCGAGCCGTTCGACCGTGTGACGTCACAAGCTCGCACGCCCCTCCCATGATTGTTGATTGACAGGAGCGTTTCAACACAGACCCGCCCTCGCTCGTGAGCGAGCTGTCAATCATAGTCCGCGCGGACCGGCGCGGTCATTGTTGATACGCTGGAGCACTGTCTATGAGCAGAATGGCGTCTAAGCGATTGTGGTGTTCTGTTCTTGGGTGCAATAACGAACACAGCAGTCATTTTAATGTTCCTAAATCCGAACCGCTGAAGACGCAGTGGCTGAGTTTGTTTTCGAAGGAAATATTCCCCACGAGCAACGTCAATGCTCTCATGTTTGCGCGAATCATTTCTCACCAGACTGCTTTATAAACGAGGATCAGTATAAAGCTGGTTTTGCTAAGAAGCTGCTCATGAATAAAGGATCGGTACCAGCTATTCCTGTTCCTGCTGAACCTCTAGAACAACTGAAGTGAGTGTAATGTTTTATTAACCTTTATATTAATATTTATATCTTTGCAAATCGCTTGCACGCTTCACGATGAATGCGGCTAAGGTTTACACTTACATTACGGCATGTTTTCTATGTACGACCACGACGTTCTCAATATTAATCATAATCCCACGTTTATAATGAACAACGCGTTATGGTTATTGTGTTACAAATGGTGTATGCACAGAACAGAGGGGCGGAGTCAGCAAAGCTCATTATCATTTAAAGTCATATGCACTGAAACGGCGTGCTGAAAACAGAGCTGTTTTTGACCAGGTAAAATAAGTGTTTTCTTACAATACTAATGAGAATTTTTAATTAAAGTATATTACAAACTTTTAATTTAGACCCTAAAGAATCATATTAGCTTGTACAAAAATGGCATTATATGACCCCTTTAAGAAACCACTTAGCTTTATGGGTTAACATTACATTCAACTGTCATGTGGTTGGTTTTGACATTGGCTGTCATGACTCATGAGGCCATGTGTTGTCTTATTGATGTCAAGTTGTCATGACAAAGACACAGACAGGTTATGATGTAATGGTTTGTCAAGTTGTCATGACAAAGACATCTCAAACAATGTCATTTTTGCATTAAAAATGTCATAATTGAGAACATTACACTTAATCATAAACATGTCATAAACATGCATAAAACCTCCATATTCATGACATGTGTCATGTCATGATTATGAAGGTGTCATGTCAGTCTTATGCACACCCCTTCAAGTAAAGTGTTACCAAATTGGATAACTATTAAAAAAAGATTGAGATTATCTTAAAGCCAAAATTCAAAATGCAATTTCTTTCTGAAGCGTCACTTTGACAGTTGAGTAGCTGTCATGGAGAGATAGAAAGCTCTCAGATTTCATCAAAAATCTTCATTTGTGTTGCGAAGATGGACGAAAGTCTTACGGGTTTGGAAAGACATGACGTTAAGTAATTAATGACAGAATTTTCATTTTTTGGGTGAACTAACCCTTTTAAAATAAATAAATAAATAAATGGATAAAATAAAAAAATGGTTTAAAATAAATACAAAATTGGATTAACAAAGAATACAAATTAGGTTCAAATAAATATGTAAACAAAGAAATGTATTAAATCAAATACATTTAACAGTACACTTCGATAGCGAGTAGAAAAAACTTAGTGTAACTTAATAGATACTAATTAGTTTCAAAATAATATTTTAAATTGGTACACTAACGTTATATATTCCTACATAAAGTTTAGTCAGTATAGATTGGGTCTTAGTACACGAAAATATTTAGATGCCTTTTAAAATTTAGGACAGACATCCCAGCACGAGGAAGATCATATTTGGTGATCTGTGGCCTCTAAAAATCGAAAAGCCCTTCTAGTCTACAAATGGACCCGTAGTACACTATAAAGGGGGAATACTCTTGTTAGTGTTTTCCTCAATGGGTCTAGAGATCATGGATCACCACCTCTTGTAGGGGGTTGAACCTATAACGTTACATTTTTGGCACCTACAATTTGATCAGCCCACTAAAGAACTAAGAAAACATCAACCTCCAAGTGTATGCATATCTTTGACAGTCAATCATCCCTATTACAACACCATTTATGACCATCAACTACAAACCGCAAGATAAGAGACCGCAAGATAAACCGCATGCTGAGAAAACAGCATGACCTACAGTACATTAGGACGATTAACACAAGGCAGATATGATTCATATGAATCATCTGGTGAACTGCACACGATTGCTACATACACATGTGTGACATGTAAAGTCTTACCACGGTGTCCAAAAGATGGATCATGACGGCCTCAAATGCCAGAAACAGCCTCTTGTGCGGATAATGGCAGGTGGGTTGAGGTGTAGATCAAACACAATCCGATTTAAATGCTCTTTAGCTTCTTAGCCTGCTAGCCTCTCCAAACATCTGTCTTCAAACATTTGCTGATCCTATTTGTTGGTATTTAAAAGTGCACGGACCGCTATAAATCCAGTGTTGCTCGTATGCATTGCTCTCTAAGATACGGATGTGTTCTGGTGGACAGCCTCGAAAGCGCTAGCGATCATTACGTGCTGTCAGGCATTTTGACGGGTTTTTATATCGGGAGGAAACGGCAGCGACGTCTTCACCAGTAAACAACCTCGTCACACGGGAAACGGATCTGCGTCAGAGGGGACGGGGCCTACGGGTGATCAACTTTAGAAATCCTTTTAGATGTGTATTTGCATTAAAAAATAGCCTACATAAAAGTATTTGCAACGAAAATGTATGTAAGCTCATAACAATGAAAAACGTAAATAAGCATTTTTTTTCAGAAATATTTTTTTTCCAGAAATACCTTTATAATGCCATTAGTAACTAGAAGGGATAAAACAAACAGTATAAATCAAGGCATTTATATATATAATCTTCTAGTGAACCAAAGTATCTTATCATCCCAACAAATTTGCAGCCCTGTTTACTCTTCATACAATGTAATGTATTTAATGAAGGAAAATATCCACAAAGAAAATCACTTTTAAAATACAGATAAGTACGTTGTTGTCTTCATAGTATTACAGCCCAGGGGGCGGGGCCTACGGAAGCCCGTTGGTGACATTGAGCGAAGTAGGAAGCGATCTTGACTGGCTTCAGTGCATGTGTAGCGTTAGCACATCGCGCAGTAACGGTTTCATAATTTGTGAATATCTAATAATGCATGTCTAAATTGAGCTAAATTAACTTCTATGTCTTAGACTGACGCGTTTATTATTCCTTTATGTCATTCACTATTCTGTAAGTTTTTGCACAACTAAGTTAATCAGTGAGCAAGGTCAAAAGTTGCTTGACGTGAGACATTCCACCGGTTTATGTAAGTGTTCGGAGATCGACAAGCACATGGCCGGGTTGATTAACTTTGAGGACGAACAGGAGGTCAAGCAGTTCCTGGATAATTTAGGAGTAGAGTACAGCTACCAGTGTCACCGGGAGAAGGATCCTGAAGGTCGGAGGAGCTGTCCCTCTCGAGCTGGTGCTGAACTGCTCTCTCTCTCTCACACACACAGCAGCTTCATCTGTTCCTCTTCTGTTTAACAGGGTGTCAGAGGCTGGCGGATTACCTGGAGGGTGTGAAGAGGAACTATGAGGCCACAGCCCAGGTTCTCAAGCACAACTGCGAGGTGAATGGCCATGGAGAGAGCTGCTATAAGCTCGGGGCTTACCATGTCACCGGCAAAGGTAAAGACAGTTTAGGAAAAATCCCTCCCACGAACCGATATTTAGTCATATTAAAATACTAAATAAAAACGTTTATTATAAAGTTTTTTTAATTGTTTTTAATTGCCAAAAATAGTCATTTAAAAAAAATTCTAACTGCATAATTAACTTTCTGTCTTTATTTTGATCCCATCTTAATGTGATCCTACTGGATAAACTGGAATTCCTCTTAGTTCATTCTTCTCAGAATCTCAGTTCGTTCTTTTAAAGGGTTATTGTTTGATATCCTTATAATTTGATTCAAAACATTTTAGATATTCAGTTATTTTTCTTGTATTATTTTTGACAAAGCAAATCTGTTTTGTAACTGGCTATTTTTCAAAAGTATTTTTTAACATTTATTCTCATTTTTTTAAAATATGTAAATCCTCTAAAATATCTATCTATCTATCTATCTATCTATCTATCTATCTATCTATCTATCTATCTATCTATCTATCTATCTATCTATCTATCTATCTATCTATCTATCTACTGTATCTATCTATCTATCTATCTATCTATCTATCTATCTATCTATCTATCTACTCTATCTATCTATCTATCTATCTATCTATCTATCTATCTATCTATCTATCTATCTATCTATCTATTCAAAATGAATTCAAATATATAAATTATAAAATTATTGTTATAAATTCATATTATAAAATGTATATATATACTGTATATATATATATATATATATATATAAAGTAAAAAATATTATGTATGTATATTTGTATATTATGTATGTGTATATATATCCAATGTATGTACATTTACTTCATATTTTCTAAATATACAGGGTCATTGGATTTGAAATCATAAAAAAATATCAATATTCCATATATATATATTATATATAAAGATTATATATTCAAATAAGTATTAATAATGTTAATGTTATAAAATATTATTTGATTAATGAATATTAAAAATGAGATTAATATCAAATTTACATGAAAAACATTTTAGAATGTAATCAGGTGTACGTTTATGTCCCGACAGAGTGCTGCAGTCGTGACATCAAAACCCGGAAGACCTTATTCTCCACTGGCTCCCTCGAGATTTTGCTATGGGTTTTTCAATTCTTGAGTAAAATAATGTCGGTGGTAAACATAACCTGACGATAATTGGGCATTTTCCTCTACAAAATAAATTACACACACTCATACTGAAAACCTGAATTTTAGATAAAAACATTAAGAACGTTTGGGGTGTGAGTGTGAGCATTTTATGTTGTACAACAAAACGTCCAAGTATGGTCAAGTTATGTTTACCACAGACCATATTTTACTCCTAAACTGAAATATATATATATATATAAATAACCCATAGCAAAATCTCAAGGGAGCCAGTGGAGAATAAGTCTTCCGGGTTTTGACGTCACGACTGCAGCACTCTTAATAACAACAGCTTTCCACTGCTGACATTTTAACAACTCACAATTTCTTATGACCTCAGGTGGTGTGACGGAGTGTTTAAAGTCGGCGTACTCCTGCTTTATGAAGGCATGCAACACCAAAGGGAAGAAGTCTGTGGACGCTTGTCACAACGTAGCTCTGCTGGCCCATGACGGGAGAAGCGTGGAGGGGGGTACTGACCCACAGGTGGCCCGACAGTATTACGAGAGGGCGTGTGAAGGAGGCTTCGCCCCCAGCTGTTTCAACCTGAGCACACTTTTCATCCAGGGATCTCCAGGGCTGGACAAAAACATGCCATCGGCTCTGAAGTACGCCCTGCGAGCCTGTGAGCTGGGACACGTGTGGGGCTGCTCCAATGCCAGCCGCATGTACAAACTGGGCGATGGGACGGAGAAGGATGATCAGAAAGCAGAGGAGCTGAAGAACAGGGCTAGGGAACTCCACGGACAGCAGAAAGAAAGGCAACTGAAATTTGGGGAGTGAGATAACATGTTATAACAATGATAGTTTTTTTTTTTTTTTTACCAAACTCAATTATTCTGCCTTGCTGTTTTGATATGACGGATATAAAAGCAGCATAAATAATGTTAATAAACATATTCTTTGATGCTGTTGACATAACTGATTAATGTCTGAGGGTGATTTTTTTCATCTAGGTTGATGTTGATATAAGCTAATATATTACTGAAAGTGTTGCCATTAGATAATCTAGACTGTGACAGTTATCATAGAATTATTATTAGAGGTTATTTAAATGACTACTATTCTCTGTTGGTCTGAATTAGAATTGCATCCATGGAAATCAGTAGGTTTTATGTATTTTACCAGGTGCTGTACGTAAAAATGGCCACTAGATGGAAGCATACTCAAGCTAAATTGAATACACAGACAATATCGCGGTTTCTGGCAAACTTCTTATCTATTACAGATTGCAGTGAACATTAGTTTGTTCACTGACACAGACTAATCCTTTGATACTTTAAAATGTCCACTTCATTCCGTTGAAATTATTCAACATAAATGGCATACTGCATTTAAAATGGATTTTAACTGCATATACAATTTTCACTTCTAATTTTTAATTTCCCCCTCATCGTCTCCTTTTAACAGTAATATATATGTATGTGTCCGCCACATGTGAACAAAACACAAGTTTTCATTGTTTACAGCATCACTCTTCAGTATTCATTGTAATCCAATTCCCCTATGAATGACTATATAAGTCGGTACTTTTTAGTGAATCAAAAACATTAAGCGTGACCAGTGTCATCTGATTCCCAAACAAATGACTCAAATGAACCGGTTCTTTTCATTGAATCAGAAACATTCAGCGCGACCAGTTTAGTAGATAATAATTCATTCGTTATTTTCACTCACTCAAAAGAACTAGAACATCTTTCTGAAAGCAGACTAAGGTCGCTATGTTTTTTAATTCACTGAAAAGAATCGGTTCATAAGAGTCATTTATTCTGGAATCAGAAACAGTAATTTACTACTCTCTGATATCATTGTAGTCTCTGTAGTGTTAATCCGTGTTATTGTATAAAATGAATGAATGTCTGAATTAAGTTCAAATATTTCTTCCTAAAAGTATTAAAAACAATAATTTATGAATTCGTTGAATCATTGCCAGCAGCTACACATGATGCTCGCCTCCAATGACACTGCAGAAGCAGGAGCCCGAAGCCACGCCCTTTCTCAGCTGTTCTCCAATAACACCGCAGCAGCATCAGATTGAGCCAGTAGCCACGCCCACCTTGCGATCTCCTCCAATTACAGCGCAGCAGTGTCGGACTAAGCCCGTAGCCCCGCCCACTGTCGGATCAACGGACTCACACACACACACACACACACACATTTGCCGTTCCTGCAGTAACGTTACAGGCGCGCGGCTCAGGCTGTTGTAGCTTCATATTGTTTATATTAGTTTGCTGGACCGTCGCCTGCAGCACGGAGTAACGGTCGCAGCATCCTCGCGCAGGAGTTAAGCACGGAGCGTGAAGCGGTGAGTTTGACGCCTTTTAATTTGTGGTGATGCGCAGTGTGTGGTTCTGAGCGGGATGTTAGCTAACAGGCTACAGCAGCAACACGCCTATGATGAGATTAACAGCGACCGGAGACATGCGGTTAACGGACTGAAGATGCCACTGTTTAGGAGGGAATTGATGTGCATGTGTGTGTGTGTCATACTGGCTGCGTGTAGTTGGCCGACTTTTGCCTGCTCAACGCTCGGTTCTTCTGAGAACAGGCTACGCTTTTGCGCCTAGTGTACGTGTGTGTGTGTGTAATAATCTGCAGGATTAAGTTTATTCTCGTGGTTGATGGAGGTGGATCTCTGAAGGATAACGGTTGTTTGTCTGGAGGGGGGGTTCACTTGCCCCCACCCCACCCCACTCCACTCTGAATCGGGGTGTGTCACTCACTCAATCACTCTCTCTCTCTCTCACTCACTCACTCACACACACACACACACACACACACACACACACACACACACACACACACACACACACACACACACACACACACACACACACACACACACACACACTTCAACGGAGGTTAATTTCACTCCCTTGCTTCTTCTGAACAAGCTTACATCTTCCAAAATCGTCCATGGTGACCATATGTTCTGGCAAAATACCATAGTTACTAAATTGACTAATTTACTTCAGAAGTGTTATTGGTCACTACTGTCATCATAAAGCAGATAAACAAAACTCTGACACTGTTTTAAAGAGATGTATTGTAGTATGATTTTGCTTTTGTATTACAATATGTAGTAGTCTAGCTATTGTATTGATTTTTCTTGTAACTATGGTTACCATGTTCAAGGCAGTATATGTTTAAAAATTTCAAAACAAAAATAAAAAAGGCAACAAAAAGATTCTGAGGTTAGGAAATCCTATTGGTTACTGGACCTATGGACTATATTTATTTCTTGGCCCTATTAGTTTGATTATAATTACTATAAGTAATTGTTAGGACTGGGTGTTGACATATTTCACAATCTCTAATCCAATGCTGTAAACCGTTGATGCTGGTGCCTTATTGCTATTTATTTTTAAATATAATAATCAACACACAAACTTGTTTAACTTGAACTGAAGCGCTACAGCGATCCGATCTGTCACATTAAAGAGCAGAAAAATGGCATTTATTGTTTGAATTTCATGATAAAATTGACAGAATTTGAAAGTTGAGACTTTGTTTCATATGAATAGTAACAAAGCTGATTGGATTGGAGATGTTAAGTGAAGTTTTGTGACTAAAAGATTGATTTTGTTATTTAAGAATAATAATAATCTTCATCAAAATGAAGATGGAATCAAATCAACTCGATATGGTCAACCCAGCCCTAATAAAGCCCTATATATTATAAGTGTTTTACAAAAGCATCTGATGCCCAAGATGTCGAAACGTATGTTCTGAGCCACAGTGAAAGTGTTTATACTGACTATGCTAATAGTTTGGATAAAAGTTGCCAGTCAATAGCTCTGAATCCATTCAGTCTTTCTGCAGTAAACTCAAGCTAAAAGACATTAATTACGTCTGGCTCAGCACTTATTGATCACATATGGAAATGAGGCAGCCTTTCAGGAACCTTCTGTCTGAATAACACTGTTAAATGATGAATTCACCATAAATCAAAGTCAAAGCCCAAAACTGTAATGATCAAAAGAGGATATTGGCTATTAAAATGTGACTTAAATACTGGGCAGTCAAGGGTTGAGGATTTTGAGGGTCCTTCTTGATGCTTAAATCCTCTGTTAAAATAGGCTACTTTGATGCTGATCAAAATGGTGCATTTTAGGGTGTGTTCACACTTGTAGTTCAGTTTGCTTGGTTGGTTTGGTCTGGACCAAAAAAAAAAAAAATGTAGTCCTGGTCCGCTTAGCGTTCATATTGCTATTTTAACACTGAAGCGAAAGCCACAGGGATACGTTCACAACCTGATTGATAAAATCATTGACAGCCAATCAATATCCATCCAGCCAATCAAAATCCAAGAGTTTGAGCATTTAAAGTGACAGACAACTTAACCGCAGTGTGTGCTTATAAAGAATAGAACATTATCGTCCCATGATGTGGACGCTATAGTTTTCATTATAGGCAAGTTCTTGCTCTCTGAGAACTGACCTTAACTCTATTGCCGCCACAAGAACGTCTTTAAACATTGCGTTTGTGTATTTTGCAGCGTCTCACGGCATTCTAAAAATGCGGCGCTTAAGTTTTAGTACAACGCGACCATGGTTTGCAGTGCGTTTGGCCAAACACCTGCGTTGAGTGTTTCTGGCCTAAAGAAGAAGTATGTCTTTTGAGTCCCTCTGGTAATCAGATCACAACTGTATGCAAAGGTTCAATTTCCTTTGTTAAATATAGCTTGGGTTTTATGAAGCGAGTTATAGTTGAAGAGGACATCTGCCATTGCTTTAATCCCCATAAACACTCTCACTCTGTTGCTTTCCTTCTCTGTTTCTGTATGTCGGAGCGCTTCCCGTCTCTTATAAGAAAGCTTTGTCCTTTTCAAAGCACTGCAAGGCAGATCCTGGTGCTGCTTAGAGCTGAAACACTGAAACAGCTGTTCTTATGGATGCACAGGTGGGATTCCTGACTTCACTTTGATGGGATTCCTGTCTTCTGACTTCGTTTCCTGGGGGACGGTTAATACAGATTTTTTTTTTTCTTAACTTAAGATATGATAAGTTAATTTAGGATTTTTTACAAATTCGTACTACAGAAGCATGTCTTAACTTGATTTAGGTTTCTTATATTATCTTACAAAATCATATTGTATGTGTAGTTGAGAAATCTTAACCCTTGCATTGCAAACAAGCAGAGACTTGGAGGGGGGGTGTAGTTATGAGGTTTTGCCGACAGTTTGAGGAGCCAATAGAGTTACGAGGTGTAGTCACAAGCTCTTTTCAATACTTTTCACTGGTTGGATGTTTGCAAAAACCCACTGACAGATGTAAATGGTGACCAATAGAGCTGCACGAATCTGGATACATTGAACCATGATTTATTTTGTTTCAAACGGAGATCACGATTCTGAACAGACAACTGAACCAAATAACACATCATTTACAAGAGGTTCAATGATAAAATGTTAATTGCTGCAGCTGCAGTCTATTTAAAATGTTCACAGGGCTCGAATTTCGGCGCGGGATTGCGGGTATTGCGCATAATTCTAATCATTCCCGCAGGTCTCTCCCATTTATAATGCGGGAAATTCCCGCAATCGTAATCCACACAGATAATAAAATCAAATCATTCTTTTAACAACTATCTTCCAGACGCAATTTCACAAACAGCGTGAGTGTTCAGCTGTGCCGCGTCTTCTATCTCTTCTCTCCCCTATGCTTCTCTCTGTGTTGTGCAAGGCAGGCATCAAGCGCTGCGGCGATAATACACACTCGCGTTTAGGAGTCGGGACCATAGACTGTAAGGACCATAGACTTTTTAAGTCTTACCAGTTTAAACATTCAAGCGATTTTAAACTAATCAGTGCTCGCGCGCTCGCTGAGAGATTTTCTATGCGCACATTCATAGAACATCTGCCTCAAAAACATCTGGCCAGTAACTATTTTTCGCGGATTATATTGCTTTAACACGCAAAATTGTCAACTTCAAACAACAAAAGATAGCTTTAAGTTAAAGGAATCAGGATTAATAGCCTATGTATTTAATTTATTCAGGACTAAAATACTACCCAGTGTTATTTTCCATTTGATTACTTTATTCAGTATCTGTATATGAATACTAGTGTTAGACCTATTCAAAAACTTTTCTCTTTATTTGTCTTTATTTGTATCTTTATTCTATTGTATTTATTTGTGCTACTTTTTTCAATTTAATTAAACAATTTAAATCAAGCTTCCTTGTGATGTGTAAATTCTTAACAACAATATTACCCCATTGTAAAAATGCAATGAGCGCAAACATTTAGGCAAGATAAATGTAATAATTTTGTTTGGAAAAAATGCCCCCCCTTTCTCCCCCTCAAACAAAAAAAAATCCCCCCCATGACTCATGAGAATCATCTAAGGGGGGATTTCCCCCCCATTTTCCAAAACGAAATTCAGGCCCTGGTTCATTTAATCTGAATGATTTTTTCGGGTTGAGTGAATGATTCAAAGACTCACTCTCTCATAAATACTTGTTTCATTACTGGATGATTGAGAGTTTTTGAATGAGTCTTTTGAACGAATGAATGATTCAATGGCACATTTTTTTAACAGTCACTCGATACAATCATTATTTGAAGCGTCAAGTTACTTTCAAAAGGTTATTTACTCTCTTTTGATTGCTAACGTAGACCTCAGTTTATATCCAAACTATAAACTTTTATCCCAGTTCTTCTGTGATAATTTGAATATTTGTAACACAAAAATATGTAAAAACCGATTTGGCCTGTCGTGATTTTGAAATCGCAAAGGCATATCTCTGAAATTGAACTATTTAAAGCCTTTAAAATTAAGAAAACCAGAATATAAAATTATATTATTAAGATATCTTTCTGCATTACAGGCATGCAAACTTGGGGCAAAAAACACAAGAAGTGCTCTTTTCCCATTTTTGTCACCATTGGCATTTAATGCAACAAAGATTGATAAAGGAAACAGATTTTACTAATAGACACTAATCTCTGCAGTAAAAAAAAAAAAAAAATCTTAATTTGAAGTACAATGGCGCTCTCTCCAATGACACAGAATACTTTGAAACTGGTTTACCTAGTTAGGAAAATATTATTTTGGGTAGATCTACTCCTAATTGGACACAATCTCCATTGACTTGTTTATATGAATGTGAGACCCATCTGGCCTTGTGCTTTCTGCTTTACAAAAAAATGCCATTATTCACAGATTACATTTGTGAAACGGGACCCCCTTATTCCACAAGGGCCTACCTTTCATCTGTGTGAGGATTGAGGATTGTAGGTCCTGTTCTGCTTTGCTTCCCTGCTCAAATGACAGGGGTTTTCTGAAACTCAAGATGAGCCTC